CCACCCTCTGGTTGTGGCAGTTGTTGGCAGCTTGACCACATAAAAACTCCTGAGTTGGGGATACAAGCTAATGGTGATTATCAAAGAACAGCAAACAGTTGTCGTCTCGTGGAGCCACTGACATAGGTTCCTGGACCTGAGTGAGGTTCATTGAGGATGCCCCATACTGCAGTTGTATGCTGGTTTGAGGATGCCTCATACTGCAGTTGTATGCTGGTTACACTTGATGTGTTTTAGGATACTTATCGTTGACCTGTTACCCAGATATGAGTATTATCTTGTGACAAAGAGGAAAACCAGAGTTACCAATCACCAAACTCTATACCATGTTCACCACCCATCCGTCTTTCCACAGTATTTAACTCAGATGTCTGTGCTAGGCTTCTATAGACCGATAAGGTCTGTAGCAACCCCAGGATCACCAGTGGTAGCAGTGAGGTTAGAAAGAACTATGTTCTGTCTAATGCCATCCCGAGTGACAGTCTGCATATGACAACCTACAGAGGGATAACACCATTTCCTTCCTATAATAGGGTTCCTATACTCACACAAGTAAACCACGAAGGCAAGCACACACACACACACACACACACACACACACACACACACACACCACATATATATATATATATATATATATATATATATATATATATATATATATATATATGGAACGCGTTATAGCATGAGAAACACGAGACAACGTTTTTACTCTCCCGCAAACATGCCATGTTTATATTTTGGGCAGGGCGTCACACCTGTACTGAAATTAGCATGACATTAGCTGATAACTAATCAATACGGTCTGACGTGCCCTGCCCGATTGTCTCCAGGTAAAGGGTGAATATATATAACAAATGTGACCAGTCATATTGTAAAAATGGATACGTCATATCCCAGCTGTCTGGAACACATTGAGAAAGTATGAGGAGAGAATTTTCCTCGACTTGTGGGTGAACGCTATGGTTTCGCACTCTTCCGTAGTTTGAATGGTTTGAAAAGTAAGTCCCGTTGCTTCACATAGCCACCTCTGTCCTACACTCAGCAGCAGGGCCGAATACTCTAGCACTATTAATCCACTATGTACTTATCCATGCTCATGGACGTTCCCGGGAGAGTCGGGGATTCAAACGGAGGTAAGCTGATAGACAGATATGACAGCAAGCCGTCTGCTCATTCTGGAAGCTCAGTCAAAAATGAGTCCCAAATCTAAGCGTCTCTCCAGCTATAGGCGGGCATGGATTCATCCGCGTCCAAAGCGGTAGTAAGACCAATGGAATTTGGCTTCACTATCAGTAATACTCCAACATATATATTGTTGAATTTAAATATATGTCATTCCCAAAAGAATTAGGATAGAACTGAGTACTTAACCCGATAACTAGACACATAAGTACAAAAGAAGAACTATTTACCTATGGAGGAAAGCCCAAGTTTTGAATTTATCTCATTTACATAGAGTTGTACTAGATGTGGCCATGTTCAAGTCTCAAGGGGTGTGGGCTGTCATGCGACAGTTATCATGGAGTGGCCATGTTCATGACTCAAGGAGTGTGTGGGATGTCATGCGACAGTTATCATGGAGTGGCCATGTTCAGGACTCAAGGAGTGTGTGGGATGTCATGCGACAGTTATCATGGAGTGGCCATGTTCAAGCCTCAAGGGGTGTGTGGGATGTCATGCGACAGTTATCATGGAGTGGCCATGTTCAAGACTCAAGGGGTGTGGGATGTCATGTGACAGTTGTCATGGAGTGGCCATGTTCAAGTCTCAAGGGGTGTGGGATGTCATGCGACAATTATCATGGAGAGGATTGACAGGAAACTAGATTTTGAGCTGCATGAAGCACGGGCGGATTTTAGTCAGGGTAGAGAAACTAGGGATCAAATCTTGAATATGGTCACAATCTTTGAAAAATGTAGCTAATACAACGTATATCATGCTAATTTCATTGATTATGATAGCCCCGCCCCCGCCAGCATGGCACTTAATGTTGATGATTCACCCAAAACCACCCCGAGACCCAGCTGACACCCGCGCCTATAATCACTTGTACACATTTTACTTAAAAAACATATAAACTTTCTCACCCCTTCAACGAAGCCAATTAAAACCCCTATCTTTCTATGGATGTGAATCCTGGATAATCGGTAGGCAGGCCAAACAATTTTTAGAGGCCTCAGAGATGTGTTTTACAGAAGAATGCTTAGAATACCTTGGAGAGCCAAAAAGAGCAACCAAGAGGTTTTGAAAGAGGCGGGAGCCCGAAGACAACTTATCACAGACATCAGAAGGAGACAGTCATCATTTTTCGGCCATGTTATGAGAAGAGGGAAAATAGAACATGTTGTGACCACTGGAAAGATCTGTGGAAAAAGGGATAGAGGAAGACAACGAGAGAAGATGCTTGACAGTCTTGTTGCACGTCATGGAGGTGTGTCGGCGCACGAACTGATATATGCTGCAGGAGATCGCAGATTATGGAGAGGCATGATCGCCCACGCCAGTCGGCAAGGCATCTGATGATGATGATGATCTTTCTCTATTCTTCTATGTAACTCATATACGTTTAGTGTCACATCGCTCTATTCTTATTTTATTTCTACTTTAAAACATTTATACTTTCTACATACAAATAAAAACCAAGAATATCAAATAACTGGTGGGGTTTGTCTGTGATGTGATGAAAGACATACAACACACAAGCGCGCGCGCGTACACACACACACACATACACACACACACACACATCCCGAACACAGTGATATTTAAGTATATCAGAAAACTGGTCTAATCTCCCGTACATCCACCGATTGTCGACTATTTACTTTAGTGGGTTTGTCTAGTAGTTGTGGGACTTGAGACACTAGTGGGATAGTCAAGTAGTTGTGGGACTTGAGGCACTAGTGGTTTTGTCAAGTAGTTGTGGGACTTGAGACTCTAGTGGAATAGTCAAGTAGTTGTGGGACTTGAGACACTAGTGGGATAGTCAAGTAGTTGTGGGACTTGAGACACTAGTGGGTTCGTCAAGTAGTTGTCGGACTTGAGACACTAGTGGGTTAGTCTAGTAGTTGTGGGACTTGAGACACTAGTGGGTTAGTCAAGTAGTTGTGGGACTTGAGACATTAGTGGGTTTGTCAAGTAGTTGTGGGACTTGAGACACTAGTGGGTTAGTTAAGTAGTTTTGGAACTTGAGACACTAGTGGGATAGTCAAGTAGTTGTGGGACTTAAGACACTAGTGGGTTTGTCAAGTAGTTGTGGGACTTGAGACACTAGTGGGATAGTCAAGTAGTTGTGGGACTTGAGACACTAGTGGGATAGTCAAGTAGTTGTGGGACTTGAGACACTAGTGGGTTCGTCAAGTAGTTGTGGGACTTGAGACACTAGTGGGATAGTCAAGTAGTTGTGGGACTTGAGACACTAGTGGGTTTGTCAAGTAGTTGTGGGACTTGAGACACTAGTGGGTTTGTCAAGTAGTTGTGGGACTTGAGACACTAGTGGGTTAGTCTAGTAGTTGTGGGACTTGAGACACTAGTGGGTTTGTCAAGTAGTTTTGGGACATGAGACACTAGTGGGTTTGTCTAGTAGTTTTGGAACTTGAGACACTAGTGGGTTTGTCAAGTAGTTTTGGGACTTGAGACACTAGTGGGTTTGTCTAGTAGTTGTGGGACTTGAGACACTAGTGGGATAGTCAAGTAGTTGTGGGACTTGAGGCACTAGTGGTTTTGTCAAGTAGTTGTGGGACTTGAGACTCTAGTGGGATAGTCAAGTAGTTGTGGGACTTGAGACACTAGTGGGATAGTCAAGTAGTTGTGGGACTTGAGACACTAGTGGGTTCGTCAAGTAGTTGTGGGACTTGAGACACTAGTGGGTTAGTCTAGTAGTTGTGGGACTTGGGACACTAGTGGGTTTGTCAAGTAGTTGTTGACTTGGGACACTAGCGGGTTTTTCAAGTAGGTTTGGGACTTGAGACACTAGTCTGCTTGGATCAGATCCCAGGCTTTTGTGTGTGTGTGTGTGTGTGTGTGTTAACATGTGCGTTTGTCTGAATGAAGAAATACATGAATGAGAATCACCATATAGTGTCAGGGGCCTTTGTGCTACTGTAAGCGTTGATAAAAGAAGTAGACGAAGAGAAGAAGAAGAAGAAGAAGAAGAAGAAGAAGAAGAAGAAGAAGAAGAAGAAGAAGAAGAAGAAGAAGAAGAAGAAGAAGAAGAAGAAGAAGAAGAAGAAGAAGAAGAAGAAGAAGAAGAAGAAGAAGAAGAAGAAGAAGAAGAAGAAGAAGAAGGAAGAAGAAGAAGAAGAAGAAGAAGAAGAAGAAGAAGAAGAAGAAGAAGAAGAAGAAGAAGAAGAAGAAGAAAGCAATTGTAACTGGCACACCGTCCAAAAAAATTAAAAACAAAAACATTTGTGATATGGGGCACTTAGCGCCCTTAAATATTCTAAGGACGGGGCGAGGCTCGAAAGCCTAAGTATTGTGTTGGTGTGCAATAATAATAAAAAGGAAAATGCTCTCAAAGTGGACAGAAGAAAGGACAGCCTCAAAACCTCACTGAGAGACTTCTGTATTGATCCTCAAACCTGGGAAGTCGCTGCATGTGACCGCTCATCTTGGCACCCCTCTCTCCATCGAGCTGCTGTGACCCATGAAGCTGCTAGAACTGCAGCATGGTGAAAATACGGGGGTGACTGCCGTCAAGCTAATACAAGGAATTAAAGAGAAATTTGACTAAAAAGCTCAACAAAGTGTGGAAGCAGAAAAACGTGCACAAAACAACACGACGTAACGTTCCGACCGTACGGCCTTTTTTAAACATAAGTGAAACTACACAAACGTAAGTGCGCTCCAGCTTCTGTGATCGTAACGGAATGCTATAGCATGATGATGATGAAGTTTGTGGACCGAGCGAGCAGTCCGGCAATGTTCGGCAGTTTCCGCCTCCTTGAGACGTAAACATCGGCGACTTCCGGTGGTAGCTGAAGACAAGAAAGCCAACAATGGCACGGAAAACTAACCCACGAACAGGTAAACTCACTCAAACACGCTCTAGCTGCCTTTACTGGTGCATCGCTGCTCTCTGGTTGACGTAGTAAACATCTGTGCTTGTGGGCAGCCACTTGTCCAAGTTTGACACCTCTTATCTGATGTCGCTGGGACGGTAAACTTAACTGGACGGCCGGACAGGACTGGAGACTGGACATCTGCTGAGTTGTAGTCGTCGACTTGACTGATTGAGAGACTGGACATCTGCTGGGTCGTAGTCGTCGACTTGACTGATTGAGAGACTGGACATCTGCTGGGTCGTAGTTGTCGACTTGACTGATTGAGAGACTGGACATCTGCTGGGTCGTAGTTGTCGACTTGACTGATTGAGAGACTAGACATCTGTTGGGTCGTAGTTGTCGACTTGACTGATTGAGAGACTGGACATCTGCTGCTTCGTAGTTGTCGACTTGACTGATTGAGAGACTGGACATCTGCTGGGTTGTATTTGTCGACTTGACTGATTGAGAGACTGGACATCTGCTGGGTCGTAGTTGTCGACTTGACTGATTGGGAGACTGGACATCTGCTGGGTTGTTGTCGTCGACTTGACTGATTGAGAGACTGGACATTTGCTTGGTTGTTGACTTGACTGATTGAGAGACTGGACATCTGCTGGGTCGTAGTTGTCGACCTGACTGATTGAGAGACTGGACATCTGCTGGGTCGTAGTTGTCGACTTGACTGATTGAGAGACTTGAAATTTGCTGGGTTGTAGTCGTGGACATGTTTGATTGAGAACGATTGATTGAGAACCTGGACATTTGCTGGGTCGTAGTTGTTGACTTGACTTTTTGAGAGCCTGCGCTCTGAATCTCCTTTACATATACTTAATGTGTGTTCACCTTTCATGTCTGAGGTGGCGGCATGCAGACATTGGGAAAATCCTAATCGACCACATCCCGTAGAGTTTGAAGCAGACAGATCTTCAAATATCTTGTTTTGGGTTTTTATGTACTAAATAAAAAAGTAGATAATTTAATGATTGGCACGCATAAAAAGAAGTAGAAAGATGGACACACTAGATAATACAAAAATCGAAAGCTTGAGTAACCATGCTAGGAATCGAACATGTCACCTCCAAACAGCACCTTGCTATGGAAACAAGTATACTAAGAATATGGCAAACTAGGTACCCCCCACAAAAACCTACTATTCTGTTGCAGCTGGACTAACAGTAATGGCACTTACATCTGATACTCACTGTAAGAAAGATAAGTCACTTTCAATATGGCTCGTTTACTCTGGAACAAATACAGCTTTTTACAATTGACAACACTGGAACACTGATCAAATTCCAGTGTACATTTTGCCAGTTTATTTCTTCTGTCCCAATCATTTTTGTTCACTTCCACAACAATGCCACAATAATCATTTACTCAGCGTTGACTACACTTAATTAAAACTACATTGACGACATAACGACTATCTTCTTCCAACTCTGGTACACAACTGACCATGACATCCTGGGACTTCCCCTCGTTTACGTTTCCAACCCCAAGTATCTCGTGCGGTCGTTTGTCGCACAGATTTTCTGCTTGATTTGCTGTGAGCATGGAGACCAGCTTCATCACACTCACACATTGTATGTAAGTAGCTAGGCTCTACCATCTCTACCCCCTGGCCTCCACTGTTTCTCCTGAGTTTCTGATCGCATCCTCCCACCCACCCCTCCCCAGGATCCATGCACGATCCAGGGGGGGGGGGGGCATTGCTATCTTAGCTTGAATTCTGTTTATTTATTGCGAAAGAAATTTTGTATGGGTTTTTGTTTCAACATGTTGGCGGGGTCTGGCTTGGTGGGTTTTTGGCTTTTGATCATTCTGTTATCTGCGTTTTGAAAGTGGATTGATGGTACTGTCTGTTTTGCCTGGGGCGGCTGGAACTCCTGTGGGTCTGGTGCTGGCTTGTTGGGTTTTGGCAGCTTTCGATTTGGCTTTGGTGGTTTTTGGGCTGACTGTATTGGGTGCTGTTGATTGGGCTGTTTTCTGTATCTTATGGAGGGGGGAAGGGGGGGGGGGGTTTCCGTTAGCCCTGAGAAGGACTATCAGTTTTTGCCTGTTGCAGCCTGCATCACGTAGGGGTAGGGTCTCTTGAGGTCTGATGCTGGCTGTTGTGTGGGTTGATTCTGTTGGGTTTAGTGCTTACGGTGGCGGCGCCACTGTTTGCTGTTGGCTTTGTTCCATTCAGTGCTGCCTGCCTTGTTTTCCTTGAGAATTTTGTGAGCTCTTTCCAATTCTGTATACCTTGTTGTCCATGTAGTGTTTTTATTCTACATCTGATTCTAAACCTTTTATGTTTTATGCCAGTGTCATTCTCCCACACACCCGTGTTGGAGTAAATTGCTTTCTTCAGGTGTCGGACCACACATTTGACATAGGCATCATTTATATCTTTGTCTGTGATCTTTTTCTAGGTGCATTGTGTATTCTTCTTTTGTGGCTACAGATTCTGACAGTTCAGGTCTGTCTTCAACCTCGTAGAATTGATCTTCTTGGTCCGTTTCAGTGTCTTCTTGTGTTTTTTCATCTTCTGATGCTGCATCCGTTTCTGTGTGCGGAGTGGTTTCTTCTGCATCAAAGATTGTTTCAATTTTAGTGCTTTGATCAGTTGTTCTTGCTGGCTCCGTAGACTACACCTTATGAGTCATAACTTTCCTTTCAGTAGCTCTACACTTGTCAGCCCTGGTAATCTGGTAATCCTAGTTTCAGCTTCATAGCAAACAGGTCACCCCATAGTTGCTCCGCTCCTGTGCCAACGAAAAACACACGTAGCTCACAGTTTCACGCTATGCACTTAACTCAGAAGCTGGGCGACGAAACTATTGCTTCCAGTCTACAAATGGAGCAAAAATGCAACGGCCACCATCTGGCAGGGAAAAAAAAAGGTGGCTGTGCCTAGCGTCCTTTTTGACCTGAAGCATTATATGAGGGTTAATAAATGATCACCCCAGCAGTACCCTCATTATTAGCTGGGGAAGGGACTTAGGACATTACATCCACCAGCAGGTGATGCCCCTACAAAGACACCTTGAACTTGGGTTTCGGACTGCCGACTCCCTACAAGATGTTATTTTATGTTTTGTTATCACACTTGATGTCACTGCACATTGGGCATACCCATGCGTGCTCAGTTCTCCGAAGCAGCAGCCACTCCAAAGTACTTCTACTAGTTGTCCCCATGAGAAGCTGGTTATGTCGTCTCCTTTCTCGGCCCCGAAGACGGCAAAGACTTGCATCACCAGGCTTAACTCCCATGTCACGCAATCGTGTTAGTGTCAGGGATTCCTCCTTCTCCACTAGCCCAGTCCGTACAGCATTGACGATATCTGCTCTGTCTATGCTTTTTCCCGCAATCATTGGTGCAGTGTTTGCCAGTTGGTCCGCTCACTCATTTCCCTTTACGCCCGCATGACTCGGTGTGTAGATCCAGGTTACGGAGGTTAAGTGCGATTTCCGAATGCTTTCTATCCATTCAGAGCGCATACTGCCTGTTGCTATCTTCTGAAGCATATTCATTGAGTCTGAGACAATTGCTGCCTGTGTGGCGGTTTGCTCGGATACCCATGCTAAAGCTCTAGAAGCAGCGGCTATTTCCATTGTCATGCTTGACGTGGTTGTCTGGTAAGGGCCGCTGACCTCATGTATTGTTTTCCTTATTCTTTGCGCTGTGTATGCCCATGCTGACCTTGATCCGCTCTTCACGCCAGTTGGTGTGGGTGCTCCTGTGTCCTGCCAGTTGGTGTGGGTGCTCATGTGGCTTGCCAGTTGGCGTGGGTGCTCATGTGACTTGCCAGTTGGCGTGGGTTCTCATGTGACCTGCCAGTTGGCGTGGGTGCTCATGTGACCTGCCAGTTGGCGTGGGTTCTCATGTGACCTGCCAGTTGGTGTGGGTGCTCATGTGACTTGCCAGTTGGCGTGGGTGCTTATGTGACTTGCCAGTTGGCGTGGGTTCTTATGTGACTTGCCAGTTGGCGTGGGTGCTCATGTGACTTGCCAGTTGACGTGGGTGCTTATGTGACCTGCCAGTTGACGTGGGTGCTTATGTGACCTGCCAGTTGGCGTGGGTGCTCATGTGAGTTGACAGTTGGCTGAGTGCTCATGTGTCTCCACAGAATACGATCCCTCTTTGCCTAGAACAGCTTTGATGATATCCCTCCATGCCATTGCTTTAGCCCATCCAGCATCATCTCGCTTGGTCTGCCTCTACCCCTTTTTTCCACGGATCTTTCCTGTTGTCACGATGCTCTTCAATGTCTTTTCTCATTATGTGGCCAAAGAACAGTGTTTGTCTCTTTTTTATTGTTGTTTATTAGGGCTGTACTTAATATCCGCTTCGTATTCGCTTCGGGCTGAATAGTGGAGCTATTGACTATTCGGTATTTGGCCGAATAGTTGTGGTCGGGCCGAATAGTTGTGGTCGGGCCGAATATGAATAGTAGTTACCTTACACCCGCTTCTGCATACACAGCCTTAATACTGACAACATGGAACGATTGGTTTTGTTTTAAGCTAATGCAGCTTTCATGCATTAACTAAGCTGTCAGTGACAATTTCCAAGTTAGTTACTTGTTATAATACTTAGGATTCTTTCATTCCTAGTTATTAGTTACCACAGACTGACTGAAGGATGCAAAACATAACATGTTTTTAAGTGTTTACTATTTTGTACGAATACTAACTAGGCATGGAAAGAATTTAAACTTCGGCCACATCCAAGTCGATAATATGAAAATCAAACAAACAGAAACATATAAATACTCGGGTGCAAACTTCAACTGCTCCAACATGCTGAGAGAAAAAATACAATATAGAAATAGTCTGGAAATAAAGTATACTATGCCCTTCAACATCTGCTAAAGTCAAAGTGTCTGTCTCGCAACACCAAGATCAAAAAATAAAAAGTTGATAAGACCAGTTGTTTTATATGGCTCTGAAACTTGAAGCACAGCTAAAAGAGATGAGGGCTGATTACCGGTTTTCGAAAGCAGTCTTATGACGAATCTTTGGACCCATCAAAGATGCTAACAGCGGTGAATGAAGAGTGAGAAGCAACAACGTAACTCACAATCTGTTTAACTCACCACTGATTACTGGCATCATGAGAGCTAACAGACTAAAATGGTTAGGGTATAATGAAAGAGTGTCAGATGACAGAGAAGTAAAACTGTACCTGAGAGAGGAATGGGCGTAGCCCACGAGGCAGACAAAAATGAGGTTCAAGAGATAATGTCCAGCCAGACCATCAAACAACTGGTGTAGCCCACAAGGCAGACAAAAAAGAGGTTCAAGAGATAATGTCCAGCCAGACCATCAAACAACTGGTGTCACAAATTGTGTAGAGAAGGCCAGCCAGAGAGATGAATGGAAAAGAGTGATATCTGCAGCAGTAAACTTCAAGGGCTCAGAATGCTAAAGAAGAAGATGACTATTCTGTGCTACTTTATGTGAAGTAAAAGTTCAGCGTACATTTGACATTATAAATATGTTTTTTATTTTTATTTTAGATATATTTTATGCACTATAAACTATTCGTATTCGGCCGAAAAGTTGGTCCAGTTATTCTTATTCGGCCGAATAGTGAAAATCACTATTCAGTACAGCCCTATTGCATATAGAGTTCTACTTTCATGAGCTTCTTTCAAGCAGTCGTTGTTAGTTACTCTGGCCGTCCAAGGTATTTGTAACATTTGTCTCAGAAACCACATCTCTGTTGCTTCCATATTCTTCGAAATTTATTCATTGACATTCCATGATTCACTGCCATACAGAAGAACAGGCTCTATGTAGCATTTTAGCACCCTCTTTCTGATATTAAATGAGATCGATTTATTGCATTTAAATTTTCTGAAATGCGGCTTTTGCTTAACCTTTTCTGCTTTTAATCTATGTTACACATTTTCCATCTGATGATATGATTGTTTCCAGATATTTTAATTTATTGAGCTGACTTGAGTTGTTTAAAAAAATATAGGGGAAAGGGAGGGGGGAGGGGTGTGTGTGCTGAGATGGACTGAGCCTCTGCCTAAATTTTCCCCAGGTGGTAAGGAAGGCATAGGTTGGCAGACTGTTAACTATAAAATTGTAAAATTGTAAGGGGGGGGGGGGGGTTGTAAGGCCCCTACTTCATATGTTTTGTGGAGGCACACCACCTTCTCCTCTCACCCATCTCCTTCTGGCCCCTCCTCCATATGTTAACTTTGTGGAGGCACACCACCTTCTCCTCTCACCCATCTCCTTCTGGCCCCTCCTCCATATGTTAACTTTGTGGAGGCACACCACCTTGTCCTCTCACCCATCTCCTTCTGGCCCCTCCTCCATATGTTAACTTTTTGGGGGGCACACCACCTTCTCCTCTCACCCATCTCCTTCTGGCCCCTCCTCCATATGGTAACTTTGTGGAGGCACACCACCTTCTCCTCTCACCCATCTCCTTCTGGCCCCTCCTCCATATGTTAACTTTGTGAAGGCACACCACCTTCTCCTCTCACCCATCTCCTTCTGGCCCCTCCTCCATTTGTTAACTTTGTGGAGGCACACTACCTTGTCCTCTCACCCATCTCCTTCTGGCCCCTCCTCCATATGTTAACTTTGTGGAGGCACACCACCTTCTCTTCTCACCCATCTCCTTCTGGCCCCTCCTCCATATGTTAACTTTGTGGAGGCACACCACCTTCTCTTCTCACCCATCTCCTTCTGGCACCTCCTCCATATGTTAACTTTGTGGAGGCACACCACTTTCTCATCTCAACCATCTCCTTCTATCCCCTCCTCCATATGTTAACTTTGTGAAGGCACACCACCTTCTCCTCTCACCCATCTCCTTCCGGCCCCTCCTCCATATGTTAACTTTGTGGAGGCACACCACCTTCTCCTCTCACCCATCTCCTTCTGGCCCCTCCTCCATATGTTAACTTTGTGGGGGCACACCACCTTCTCTTCTCACCCATCTCCTTCCTGCCCCTCCTCCATATGTTAACTTTGTGGAGGCACACCACCTTGTCCTCTCACCCATCTCCTTCTGGCCCCTCCTCCATATGTTAACTTTGTGGAGGCACACCACTTTCTTATCTCACCCATCTCCTTCTGGCCCCTCCTCCATATGTTAACTTTGTGGAGGCACACCACCTTCTCTTCTCACCCATCTCCTTCCGGCCCTCCTCCATATGTTAACTTTGTGGAGGCACACTACCTTCTCCTCTCACCCATCTCCTTCCGGCCCCTCCTCCATATGTTAACTTCGTGGGGGCACACCACCTTCTCCTCTCACCCATCTCCTTCCGGCCCCTCCTCCATATGTTAACTTTGTGGGAGGCACACCACCTTCTCCTGTCACCCATCTCCTTCCGGCCCCTCCTCCATATGTTAACTTTGTGGGGGCACACCACCTTCTCCTCTCACCCATCTCCTTCCGGCCCCTCCTCCATCATTGTCTTCTTGTCTACTGACCACAGAGAAATGATTTCCCTGGCCTTGTTCTCTCCCACAGAGGTTTCCGGCTCTATCCGCTTTGACTCCAGAACAAACACAGTGATGGCAGAAGCCACCCATGACAACATCAAGGAGAAGGTTTGTGTCTTTCTTCTTCTGGAATACATATAATTAGCACCAGTTTTTCTTCTTCTATTTCTTCTTCTTCTTCTGGAATACACATGATTAGCACCAGTTTTTCTTCTTCTATTTCTTCTTCTTCTTCGTAATCATCATCATCATCATCTTCTTATTCTTCTTCAAGACTATCATCATCATCATTGTCTTCTTCTTTTCATAATTTTTTTTGTCTTCTTCTTCTTCTTCATGATCATCATCATCGTCTTCTTTTTCTTCTTCTTCTCCTTCTTCATCTCCTTTTCCTTCTTCTTCTTCTTCTTCTTCTTCTTCTTTTTCTTCTTCTTTTTCTCCTTTTCCTTCTTCTTCTTCTTCTTCTTCTTCTTCTTCTTTTTCTTCTTCTTCTTCTTCTTCTTCTTCTTCTTCTTCTTCTTCTCCTTCTTCTTCTTCTTTTTCTTCTTCTTCTTCTTCTTCTTCTGCTACAGGAAAACAAGGCTTATGTTAGAGACCCAGCTGCTATAGTACAAGATTCCAGTAGACGTATTCTTTAAGATGCAAAAGAAACAATCCCCAGAAGTTATCCATACAACTACAGACTATGCTGGTCCAGCACACTGCAGAAATGTCAGGAAACAGTGAATCAGGCTAGAAAGGACATAAAATCCCAACCTTCACCTGAAAACCATGCCATGGGAATAATGCTGTAGTGTCCCAGAAAACTAAACTAGAAGAAAATGGAAAAGCTGGAGAAATAAAACAGCAGCTCTAAACTTTGAGAAAGATGGCAAGAAAACTCTGAAGATTGGCTAAGTCACTCAGTGAAGAGAGTTTCTTTCCTAGACAGTCAGTCACACTGAGTGATAGAGACAAAATCTTCAGAGGAAAACAATATTTGTCTGTACAATGTTGAAAGCAGCCTAATACTGGAGAGTAATAAGGAAAGAATTACAAACAAATAAGAGACAGACAAATACTCCTGCCTCTATGATAGAACCCTTCACCCTGGGTCAAGTTCGGAATGCCAATTTTATTCTTAAGTTTGTGGGGGGGGGAGGAGGAGTCTGCAGGTCCAGATGAAATTAGCAATGAAATTCTGATCCATCTGCGCTCAGCTGCTGAAGTAAAGCTACTGGAAATTGTCTCTGTCCGCTGGGAGAAAGGATTGGTGCCTCAAGTATGAATACTAAAAACAAAAAGGGAAAAATTAAGACCCAGACTTCCAGCTATCGGGACAGACCACAAGCTGTGTGGGACAGACCACAAGCTGTGTGGGACAGACCACAAGCTGTGTGGGACAGACCACAAACTGTGTGGGACAGACCACAAGCTGTGTGGGACAGACCACAAGCTGTGTGGGACAGACATTGGAGATAATTATTAATTCAAGACTAACATGGCAGAATCTGAGCAGATCTTGGTGTCAGAGCGAGCTAGATTTAGAGAATATTACAGCATAGAAGACCAAGTCACCTGCTGCACAAGCTGTAGAAGATGCCTTCCAAGAGAACAAGGTACTGGCAGAGTAAGTCGACTTCAATCAAGTTTTCGACAAAGTATGGAAAGATGACCTCATTGCAAAACTGAAGAATAATGGAATCCAAGGAAACATGCTAAGATGGATCCAATCCTTCTTACACAACAGTAGAACTAGAGTCACTCATGATGGATACAATCCTTCTGACACAACAGAAGAACTAGAGTCACTCATGATGAATCCAATCCTTCAGACACGACAGGAGAACTAGTCACTCATGATGAATTCATTCCTTCTGACACAACAGGAAAACTAGAGTCACTCATGATGGATACAATCCTTCTTACACAACAGGAGAACTAGAGTCACTCATGATGGATCCAATACTTCTGACACAACAGGAGAACTAGAGTCACTCATGATGAATCCAATTCTTCTGACACAGCAGGAGAACTAGAGTCACTCATGATGGATACAATCCTTCTTACACAACAGGAGAACTAGAGTCACTCATGATAAATCCAATCTTTCTTACACAGCAGGAGAACTAGAGTCACTCATGATGGATCCAATCCTTCTGACACAACAGTAGAACTAGAGTCACTCATGATGATCCAATCCGAGCAGAAAAGGGTTGCTTTATCAAAGGGTACCACAGGAGGGAGTTATCTCTCCCTTCTCTTTCTTGTTTAAATCAGTGATGGTAAAAGACCTCCCTACAGGAGCGAAGGCTGCCCTGTATGCAGATGATCTGGCACTCTGGTGTACCGATGAACACACCACAGTGGCAATTCTAAGAAGGCAGTGAGCAGCAGATCTCTTGATGACATGGGCAGAAAAGTAGCATGTTGCCATCAACACAGACAAAACATCCATAAAGCTTTTCTCTCTTTCCCGCGGGCACAAAGCTGCTTGTATTCACCTAGGAAGATCATTGATAAAGGAAGAAAGCTTTCCCGCTCATTCTGGAGTAACATTTGATAAAAGGCTCACCTGGGGTAAACATATAGAAAATGTAGAAGTCAAGACCAGGAGACGACTGGCAGATACAAGCTGGGAAGTGAAAGTAAATACCCTCCTCCCCCATGAGGTCAGGTCTTGGTCAGATATGACTGAGCTACCGTATAACGGTCTGTTATGCCAAATGTTGGGCGACCAAACCTGACATCCCATATTGTGCCAATGGCTTCGGGCGGAGGAGCACATTGCGAAGGATACTAGCCTTATCCTAGGAAGAGGAAATGCAACCTGAAAACTTTATGTTATGGCAGGGCAGACTAGGCCCTTCGCCTTGGCTGGCAGCTGGTCTAGGAGGGAAGCTCCGATAGGCAGACAGATAGAGCACTGCTCTTCTGATCCAGCAGCTTCTTCAGCCTGCTTTGTTTTAAACCTACTGGTGTTACCTTTCCTTTGGAGTAAACAAGGCAGGTCGAAGAGGGATCATGATGCATGGGCAACATATGGTCTCTACAATACTGCCCTGGCTTGTGGAGAGGAAGAACTTTATCTCTGGTCGTAACCGGTTTCGGAAACAAATGGAGAGGTAGCAGTTACGGGTTATAAGTGCTTGTCAGTTGGTGTAGACAAGGGCGCTGTGGGTTGCCTTTGATGGTGCGAGACATATTCGAATGTCACTGATCAACTACTGCCTGCCCCAAACTGGGCAGCCCCCAGCCAATAAGATGTTGATCCGCCACAGCTTGTATGCTTCAGTGGGTGTTTGGAGCTAGGACAAAAGCCAAACTGCATGCTATAAAAACCAATGCACCAGGCAGTTAAAAAGATTATAACCTCAAACTTCAACTTAACTCTTGTAACGTGAGAACCATGACCTAGAAAACATTAATGATGTTAGAAAAATAGCTATCATTGATGCCAAACTCAACAAACTTGACATAGAAATTGCTGACCTACAGGAAACCTGTCTGCCAGAGAGAATAATTATACCTTCTTCTGGAAAGGCAGAGGTCTGGAAGAAATCTGAATGTATGGAGTGGGATTTGCAGTAAAGAATTCAAAAAATTAATATTGGCCACAAGAATGAAAATGGGCAGAGACTATTAGAATTCTGCACTAGAAGTGATTTGTGCATCACAAACTCCTTTTTAAAAAATTATTTGTCATGAAAGCATCTAAGATCTGGCCACTAGCACCAGCTAGACCTTATTCTCACAAGGAGGCAGCACTTGAACTGTGTATCACTCGCAGCTATCACAGTGCTGACCATTTCCTAGTTGCTGCAAGAGTTCCAATGAAACTAAAGAGAATTTTCACTTCCAAAACAACAAATTTATCTCTAGGTTGAATATTTCCAAAACTAAAGACCCTGAAAAGTGTTTTAAGTTTCAACAACAACTTGAAGATGCTTTCACTGATATCCAGGATAACTCTACAGCAAGTTTTAAATGGGACTGCAGGGGAAATCACTGCTGTGTACTGTTGGAAAAGTGAGAATTGTTCAGCAATGATTCCAGATCCTGGGGAACTGGGTTTTCCCAGAGTCCCAGTGTGGCTTTAGTAGAAACCGGGTTTTCCCAGTCCCAGTGTGGCTTTAGTAGGAACCGGGTTTTCCCAGAGTCCCAGTGTGGCTTTAGTAGGAACCGGGTTTTCCCAGAGTCCCAGTGTGGCTTTAGTAGGAACCGGGTTTTCCCAGAGTCCCAGTGTGGCTTTAGTAGGAACCGGGTTTTCCCAGAGTCCCAGTGTGGCTTTAGTAGGAACCGGGTTTTCCCAGAGTCCCAGTGTGGCTTTAGTAGGAACCGGGTTTTCCCAGAGTCCCAGTGTGGCTTTAGTAGGAACCGGTCTACCACTGATATGATATTTTCATTATGACAGTTGCAGGAAAAATGCAGTGAACAAAACAAAACCAACCATTGAATGTTGCTTTTATTAATCTTAACCAGGGCATTTGATTTGGTTAGTTGAAAAGTTAGGTGTAACACACTGAAGAAGATGGGGTGTCCACCTACCCTACTGAGCATTATTGAGTCGTTCCACACAGGTATGAAAGATACAATCAACTTTCAGGGTATAACATCGGAGGAGTTTGTAATTAACAATGGAGGGAAGCGGGGGTGTGTACTTGGTCCTACCCTCTTTTGATTATACTTCTCAGTTTGTTTGGAACATGCCTTTCGAGGTCAGAATAGTGGTATATTCATTCATTCTCGACCTGATGACAGCCTTTACAATGCTGGCAGGCTGAAGGCCAAAACCAGGATAAGAAAGGTACTTATCAGAGAGCTGCTGTTTGCAGATGATGCCACAATAACCACCTGCTCAGAGAAGGAGCTGCAATGTTTACTGTCTGCCTTTGCTGATGAGTTCTATGAATTTGGACTCACAGTCAGCAAAACGAAGACAAAATTGTCCAAATTGTCAATGACAGACCTACAGTCTACATTGACGGTGAAGAGCTTGAGACAGTAGACCATTTTACCTATCTGGGTTCCACAGTGAATAGTAAACTATCGCTGGACCAAGAAATCAACATCAGGATAGGTCAGGAGCAACAACAATGAGCAGATTGACAAAGAGAGTCTGGGAGAACAGAAAGCTTACAATTAAAACAAAAACCCTTGTCTATCAGACCTGTGTTCTCAGCACTGCTTTATGGCAGTGAAACTTGGTCATCTTATTTGCACCAAGAGTGACGGCTAAATAGCTTTCACATGCGATGCCTAAGAAGAATACTTGGCATTAAGTGGCAGGACAAAATCACAAACACTGAGGTACTGGAAAGAGCAGGTACTACAACAGTCTTTTCCATACACAGTCTACGAAGGCTCAGGTGGTTCGGTCACACCTGGAGAATGGAGGATGGCAGAGAACCCAAGGACATCCTTTATGGGAAGAAGATGTTGAGGCCAACCTCTACTACGGTATAAATATGTGTGTAAGTGGGACGTGAATGGTACAGGTATTAAGGTAGAATCATGGGAACAAAATGCCATGGACCATGTAGTGTAGGAAGGGCATATCAGGAAGGGAATGAGAGTGAGGCCAGAAATTACTGCAGAAAGGATGAGAGCTGAGCGTCTGAGAAGAAACTGATTAAACACAAATTAATGTTGACAACAATGGTCCTGAAATCCCATCCTATCATTGTGGAAGACTTCTCTTGACCCAGGCGGGTCTTGCTAGTCAAACTCGCCATCGCCATGGGCTGTGAGTCTCATGCCTCCTCATAGCCCAATATAACACATCGTCTGGAAAGACGGAAAGGTGCCAATGAATAAATGATTGCTTCCTATAAAGTCATTTTGTTAACAGAATGGTTTTTGATGAGCTGTTTGATACTTGCAGGTGCAGGCTGTGAGGGAAGTGGTCCCTGGCAAAAGTAACAATGAAGTGGTACTGGTCCTGCAGTATTATGACTACAATGTGGAGCGAGCTATCCAGGCTTACTTAGAGGGTAACCTAGTCTATGTATGAATGCATCAATCAATCAATCAATCCAGAATTGACATCAGTGCACTTGGGACATTCCCATAAGTGCTCCTTCTCCTTCCTCAGTAGCCCAAAAAGAGTCAACATGCTAACAGCACCAGTTGGCACCCAGTTAAAAGTCTGCCTATGTTTCCTCCTCAATGTTGAATACCTTCCAGAATCTCTACTGCTCTACCCCGGTTAAATTAGTATTTACAAATGTGCATTCAGTGTTCTGTTGGACTCTTCATTTCTTTTTCTGCGTTCATCTGAAAATGTAATTGCGTTGTGTCCGTTTACAGCATGGCTGCGATATTTGCACCTTTCGGCCAACACATCCGACTTCTGCGGGCATTTGTTGACCGGGTTAGCCTTCCCGGTGAACTCTTCAATTGATCCCAGAGAGCTTTCACCACGTCCACCTTATTATAAAAAAGCTCACCACCAGTTGGAGCAGCAGCAGCAGCCAACCTATCAGCCTGCTTATTACCCCGCACACCCGTATGTCCTGGACAGAAAATCTGATATGCTCCTGATCTGAGTCTTTATCAAGTGATGCAAGCCACTCTGTGCAAACAGAACACAAGTTTCAATGTTTTTGTGTCCGTTACAATTACATGTCAAGCTGTTCTTTCTCCAACTATCAGAGAGCTGCCGTTACACCTCCATTCTTATCAGATATCGTAACGCTATAAATAAGGCTGTCTGTTTTCAAACAGTGTCCATTTCCCTCTGCAGTAAAACTTTATCTACTCCTTTCAGATCCCTGTGTATTTAATTGTCACCTGGTCATGAATTGTCATTGATCAGCTCTTGCACAGCTGTCTTTGTTTCATTATATGTGTCTGCGTGTGTATTTCTATGTGTTTGCATGTGTATGCACTTCTGCGTGTTTGTCTCTGTGGGCGTCAGTATGGGTTTGTCTGCCTGTTTGTCTGTGTGTGTGTGTGTGTTTGACTGCGTGTGTGTCTATGTGGCTGTATGTATGTGTCTGCATGTTTGTCTGCATATGTGTGGTGTGTGTGTGTCAGTGTGTGAGCATGAATGTAAATATGTGTGCTGTGTGTTTCCCTGTGTGTGTTTATATGTAAGTGTCTGTGTGTGTGTCTGTATTTTTGTCTGAGTGTGTGTGTCTCTGTGGGAGTGTCCGTGTGTGCATGTGTGTGTCTCCATGCATGACTGTATTTATGACTGTATGTTTGTATGCCTGTATTATGTATGTATGAATGTATGTATGTATGCCTGTATGTTTGTATCTTTGTATATATGTTTGTGTGTATGTATGCCTGTGTGTATGTGTGTATGCATGTTTGTATGTATGTGTGTATGTATGTATGCCTGTATGTGTGTATGTATGCAATATATGCATGTATGTGTGTGTAAGTGAGTGGGTGAGCGTGTGTATGTGGGTGTATGTATACACGCGCGGGTTTTTGCATGCACTTTACAACTCATGCTTTTGTGTTCTTTTATAATATTCATAATATGCATATCATCATATGATCGTAACATGCTTTATTAGTAAAATACAATTGCTGTGTGAAAAATGGTTGACTGGAAGGGCCGAATGTAAGACGGGCCTGCGTGCCCAATTTGTGACACTTTGAAAATAAAGTTTGTTTGTTTGTTCGTTCGTTCGTTCACCAACTATCCATTCATTCTTAACCAAAATTAGCAGCAATAAAGAACAGCCAGATGAGAAACATAAAACCCAGATCAAAGCAGCATTTGGAACACATTGGAACACTTCACATCTAGAACACATTGGAACACTTCACATCTAGAACAAATTCCGTCTCCTCGTATAAAAGCAAGAGACCACCAGATTTATGTGATCTGGACACAACAGACTCTGCAGCCGTTTGTACAAGTCTGGACACAAGAGACTCTGCAGCTGTTTGTACAAGTCTGGACACAACAGACTCTGCAGTCGCATGTACAAGTCTGGACACAACAGACTCTGCAGCCTTTTGTACAAGTCTGGACACAACAGACTCTGCAGCCTTTTGTACAAATCTGGACGCAACAGACTCTGCAGCCGTTTGTACAAGTCTGGACACAACAGACTCTGCAGCCGTTTGTACAAGTCTGGACACAACAGACTCTGCAGCCGTTTGTACAAGGTTTTGGAGATTGAGGACTCAGAACTTTGCCCATGTGGACAAGCACCACCAAATATTGAACAAGTGCCCCCTACATACAGTCGGGTGATTCAGGGTCTGGGTAATAAAGTAAAGGTCCACGGATCGGTGATGGACATGTGCCACACCACAACCTTCACAGTGAAGGACATGTGCCGCACCACAACCTTCACAGTGAAGGACATATGCTGCACCACAACCTTCACAGTGAAGGACATATGCTGCACCACAACCTTCACAGTGAAGGACATGTGCAGCACCACAACCTTTATAGTGATGGACATGTGCCACACCACAACCTTCACAGTGAAGGACATGTGCCGCACCACAACCTTCACAGTAAAGGACATGTGCCGCACCAAAACCTTTATAGTGAAGGACATGTGCCGCACCACAACCTTTATAGTGAAGGACATGTGCCGCACCACAACCTTTATAGTGAAGGACATGTGCCGCACCACAACCTTTATAGTGAAGGACATGTGCCGCACCACAACCTTCACAGTGAAGGACATGTGCCGCACCACAACCTTTATAGTGATGGACAACATGTGCCACACCACAACCTTTATAGTGAAGGACATGTGCCACACCACAACCTTTATAGTGAAGGACATGTGCCGCACCACAACCTTTATAGTGAAGGACATGTGCCACACCACAACCTTCACAGTGAAGGACATGTGCCACACCACAACCTTTATAGTGATGGACATGTGCCACACCACAACCTTTATAGTGAATGACATGTGCCGCACCACAACCTTTATAGTGATGGACATGTGCCACACCACAACCTTTTTAGTGATGGACATGTGCCGCACCACAACCTTTATAGTGAAGGACATGTGCCACACCACAACCTTTATAGTGAAGGACATGTGCCACACCACAACCTTTATAGTGAAGGACAAGTGCCACACCACAACCTTTATAGTGAAGGACATGTGCCACACCACAACCTTTATAGTGAAGGGTATGTGCCACACCACAACCTTTATAGTGAAGGACATGTGCCACACCACAACCTTTATAGTGAAGGACATGTGCCACACCACAACCTTTATAGTGAAGGACATGTGCCACACCACAACCTTTATAGTGAAGGACATGTGCCACACCACAACCTTTATAGTGAAGGACATGTGCCACACCACAACCTTTATAGTGAAGGACATGTGCCACACCACAACCTTTATAGTGAAGGACATGTGCCACACCACAACCTTTATAGTGAAGGACATGTGCCACACCACAACCTTTATAGTGAAGGACATGTGCCACACCACAACCTTTATAGTGAAGGACATGTGCCGCACCACAACCTTCACAGTGAAGGACATGTGCCGCACCACAACCTTTACAGTGAAGGACATGTGCCGCACCACAACCTTCACAGTAAAGGACATGTGCCGCACCACAACCTTCACAGTGAAGGACATGTGCCGCACCACAACCTTCACAGTGAAGGACATGTGCCGCACCACAACCTTCACAGTGAAGGACATGTGCCGCACCACAACCTTTATAGTGAAGGACATGTGCCGCACCACAACCTTCACAGTGAAGGACATGTGCCACACCACAACCTTTATAGTGAAGGACATGTGCCACACCACAACCTTTATAGTGATAGACATGTGCCGCACCACAACCTTTAAAGTGAAGGACATGTGCCACACCACAACCTTCACAGTGATAGACATGTGCCGCACCACAACCTTTAAAGTGAAGGACATGTGCCACACCACAACCTTTATAGTCAAGGACATGTGCCACACCACAACCTTCACAGTGAAGGACATGTGCCGCACCACAACCTTCACAGTAATGGACATGTGCCGCACTACAACCTTCACAGTGATGGACATGTGCCGGAAAACCACTGGCAGGAAAAATGACAAAAAAAGTTTTTGTTGCCAAGTGCATCTGTAACATTCAGGCTGGCTTTAGAATGTTTGTTTTTGTTGCCAGGTGCATCTGTAACTTTCAGGTTGGCTTAAGAATGTTGTTTTTGTTGCCAAGTGCATCTGTAACATTCAGGTTGGCTTTAGAATGTTGTTTTTTTTGCCAAGTGCATCTGTAACATTCAGGTTTGCTTTAGAATGTTGTTTTTATTGCCAAGTACATCTGTATTTTTCAGTTTGGCTTTAGAATGTTGTTTTTATTGCCAAGTGCATCTGTAACATTCAGGTTGGCTTTAGAATGTTGTTTTTATTGCTAAGTGCATCTGTAACATTCGGGTTGGCTTTAGAATGTTTGTTTTTGTTGCCAAGTGCATCTGTAACATTTAGGTTGGCTTTAGAATGTTGTTTTTGTTGCCAAGTGCATCTGTAACATTCAGGTTGCCTTTAGAATGTTTTTTTTTATTGCCAAGTGCATCTGTAACATTCAGGTTGGCTTTAGAATGTTGTTTTTATTGCCACGTGCATCTGTAACATTCAGGTTGGCTTTAGAATGTTGTTTCTATTGCCAAGTGCATCTGTAACATTCTTGTTGGCTTTAGAATGTTGTTTTTATTGCCAAGTGCATCTGTAACATTCAGGCTGGCTTTAGAATGTTGTTTTTGTTGCCAAGTGCATCTGTAACTTTCAGGTTGACTTTAGAATGTTGTTTTTGTTGCCATGTGCATCTGTAACATTCAGGTTAGCTTTAGAATGTTGTTTTTGTTGCCAGGTGCATCTGTAACATTCAGGTTGGCTTTAGAATGTTGTTTTTGTAGCCAAGTGCATCTGTAACATTCAAGTTGGCTTTAGAATGTTGTTTTTGTTGCCAAGTGCATCTGTAACATTCAAGTTGTCTTTAGAAAGTTTGTTTTTGTTTGGCAGATGCTTCTGTAACATTTAGGCTGGCTTTAGAATGTTTGTTTTTGTTGCCAAGTGCATCTGTAACATTCAGGCTGGCTTTAGAATGTTGCTTTTATTGCCAAGTGCATCTGTAACATTCAGGCTGGCTTTAAAATGTTGTTTTTATTGCCAAGTGCATCTGTAACATTAAGGCTGGCTTTAGAATGTTGTTTTTGTTGCCAAGTGCATCTGTAATTTTCAGGTTGGCTTTAGAATGTTTGTTTTCGTTGCCAAGTGCATCTGTAACATTCAGGCTAGTCTTAAAATATTTGTGTTACCATATGCATCTCCAACTTTCAGCCTGACTTTAGAATGTTGTTTTTGTTAGCAGATGCTTCTGTAACATTCAGGCTGGCTTTAGAATGTTGTTTTTGTTAGCAGATGCTTCTGTAACATTCAGGCTGGCTTTAGAATGTTGTTTTTGTTAGCAGATGCTTCTGTAACATTCAGGCTGGCTTTAGAATGTTGTTTTTGTTAGCAGATGCTTCTGTAATATTCAGGCTGGCTTTAGAATGTTGTTTTTGTTGCCAAGTGCATCTGTAACATTCAGGCTGGCTTTAGAATGTTGTTTTTGTTGCCAAGTGCATCTGTAACATTAAGGCTGGCTATAGAATGTTGTTTTTGTTGCCTGGTGCATCTGTAACATTCAGGCTGGCTTTAGAATGTTGTTTTTGTTGCCAAGTGCATCTGTAACATTCAGGCTTGCTTTAGAATGTTGTTTTTGTTGCCAAGTGCATCTGTAACATTCTGGCTGGCTTTAGAATGTTGTTTTTGTTAGCAGATGCTTCTGTAACATTCAGCCTGGCTTTAGAATGTTGTTTTTGTTAGCAGATGCTTCTGTAACATTCAGGCTGGCTTTTGAATGTTGTTTTTGTTAGCAGATGCTTCTGAAACATTCAGGCTGGCTTTAGAATGTTGTTTTTTTTAGCAGATGCTTCTGTAACATTCAGGCTGGCTTTAGAATGTTGTTTTTGTTGCCAGGTGCATCTGTAACTTTCAGGCTGGTCTTAAAATATGTATGTTACCATATGCATCTGTAACTTTTAGACAGGCTTTAGAATGTTTTTTTTTGTCTGTTTTTGGGCCATGTTTATCTGTAACTTTTATAATGTCTAGAATTTTTTTTTTTTTGGAGGTCAGATACATCTGTAACTTTAAAGGGTACATTTATTGTGTTGTCTGTGATGCCAGGTTGTAGTGGCTTGAACATTGCTATCTTTGGAACTCTCCTACTTACTGATGTGAATGTCTGAGGTTGATTCCCACTTCAGATGCCACACTAATATTTGTTGACAAACTTTGACAGTTAATGTGTGTCTGACAGACTGTGACAGTTAATGTGTGTCAGACAGACTGTTACAGCATTCGTGTGTGGATGGTTCAAGTACAAGACAGTGCAGTCCTAATGTCAGAATTTATCAGTGGTTTGTCAATATGTGGCATTTATTTCAGATGGAGCTAAAGCAGCTTTACAAGAGTGGAACTTTACAGGATCCAAGGTGGGTTGTATGCGGAGGTTTCATCATGCAACGGTCATTTGTGGGTGGTTTATAATTCATAGTTGTGTGTGGATGGTTCATAATTCATTGTTGTGTGTGAAAGGCTCAGCAGGCCATTTCTTGTGTGGATGGTTCATAATTTATAACTGTGTGAAGGGTTCAGGGTGTCATGGTCATGTGTGGATGGTTCATAATTTATAACTGTGTGTGTGAAGGGTTCAGCGTGTCATGGTCATATGTGGATGGTTCATAATTTATAACTGTGTGTGTGAAGGGTTCAGCGTGTCATGGTCATATGTGGATGGTTCATAATTTATAACTGTGTGTGAAGGGTTCAGGGTGTCATGGTCATATGTGGATGGTTCATAATTTATAACTGTGTGTGTGAAGGGTTCAGTGTGTCATGGTCATGTGTGGATGGTTCATAATTTATAACTGTGTGTGTGAAGGGTTCAGTGTGTCATGGTCATGTGTGGATGGTTCATAATTTATAACTGTGTGTGTGAAGGGTTCAGTGTGTCATGGTCATGTGTGGATAGTTCATAATTTATAACTGTGTGTGAAGGGTTCAGCGTGTCATGGTCATGTGTGGATGGTTTAAAATTTATAACTGTGTGTGTGAAGGGTTCAGTGGATGGTTCATAATTTATAACTGTGTGTGAAGGGTTCAGTGTGTCATGGTCATGTGTGGATAGTTCATAATTTATAACTGTGTGTGTGAAGGGTTCAGCGTGTCATGGTCATGTGTGGATGGTTTATAATTTATAACTGTGTGAAGGGTTCAGTGTGTCATGGTCATGTGTGGATAGTTCATAATTTATAACTGTGTGAAGGGTTCAGTGTGTCATGGTCATGTGTGGATAGTTCATAATTTATAACTGTGTCAAGGGTTCAGCGTGTCATGGTTATGTGTAGATGTTTCATAATTTATAACTGTAACAGACAGTAGCAGTTTGATGGTGATTGTACTTGACATCACAGACAGTAATAGTTTGATGGTGATTGTACTTCATATCACTGACAGTAACAGATTGATGGTGATTGTACTTGACATCACAGACAGTAACAGTTTGATGGTGATTCTACTTGACATCACAGCTGTCACAGAAAGTAACAGTTTGATGGTGATTGTACTTGACATAACAGCTGTCACAGACAGTGTTTGATAGTGATTGTATTTGATGTCACAGACAGTAACAGTTTGATGGTGATTGTACTTGACATCACAGACAGTAACAGTTTGATGGTGATTGTACTTGACATTACAGACAGTAACAGTTTGATGGTGATTGTACTTGACACCACAGACAGTAACAGATTGATGGTGATTGTACTTGACATCACAGACAGTAACAGTTTGATGGTGATTATACTTGACATCACAGACAGTAACAGTTTGATGGTGATTGTACTTGACATTACAGAAACAGTTTGATAGTGATTGTACTTGACATCACAGACAATAACAGTTTGATGGTGATTGTACTTGACATCACAGACAGTAACAGTTTGATGGTGATTGTACTTGACATCACAGACAGTAACAGTTTGATGGTGATTGTACTTGACATCACAGACAGTAACAGTTTGATGGTGATTGCACTTGACATCACAGACAGTAACAGTTTGATGGTGATTGTACTTGACATCACAGACAATAACAGTTTGATGGTGATTGTACTTGACATCACAGACAATAACAGTTTGATGGTGATTGTACTTGACATCACAGACAGTAACCGTTTGATGGTGATTGTACTTGACATCACAGACAATAACAGTTTGATGGTGATTGTACTTGACATCACAGACAATAACAGTTTGATGGTGATTGTACTTGACATCACAGACAGTAACAGTTTGATGGTGATTGTACTTGACATCACAGACAATAACAGTTTGATGGTGATTGTACTTGACATCACAGACAGTAACAGTTTGATGGTGATTATACTTGACATCACAGACAGTAACAGTTTGATGGTGATTGTACTTGACATTACAGAAACAGTTTGATAGTGATTGTACTTGACATCACAGACAATAACAGTTTGATGGTGATTGTACTTGACATCACAGACAGTAACAATTTGATGGTGATTGTACTTGACATCACAGCTGTCACAGACAGTAACAGTTTGATGGTGATTGTACTTGACATCACAGACAGTAACAGTTTGATGGTGATTGTACTTGACATCACAGACAATAACAGTTTGATGGTGATTATACTTGACATCACAGACAATAACAGTTTGATGGTGATTGTACTTGACATTACAGAAACAGTTTGATAGTGATTGTACTTGACATCACAGACAGTAACAGTTTGATGGTGATTGTACTTGACATCACATACAGTAACAGTTTGATGGTGATTGTACTTGACATCAAAGACAGTAACAGTTTGATGGTGATTGTACTTGACATCACAGACAGTAACAGTTTGATAGTGATTGTACTTGACATCACAGACAGTAACAGTTTGATGGTGATTGTACTTGACATTACAGAAACAGTTTGATAGTGATTGTACTTGACATCACAGACAATAACAGTTTGATGGTGATTGTACTTGACATCACAGACAGTAACAGTTTGATGGTGATTATACTTGACATCACAGACAATAACAGTTTGATGGTGATTGTACTTGACATTACAGAAACAGTTTGATAGTGATTGTACTTGACATCACAGACAGTAACAGTTTGATGGTAATTGTACTTGACATAACAGACAGTAACAGATTGATGGTTATTGTACTTGACATCACAGACAATAACAGTTTGATGGTGATTGTACTTGACATCACAGACAGTAACAGTTTGATGGTAATTGTACTTGACATCACAGACAGTAACAGTTTGATGGTAATTGTACTTGACATCACAGACAGTAACAGATTGATGGTTATTGTACTTGACATCACAGACAGTAACAGATTGGTGGTTATTCTTCTTCTTCTTCTTCGCGTTCACCAGCTGTAAACTCTGGCGGAAAGTTCTGGTTGCTCGTCCACTACTGAACTGCAGTTCTGCTCCACAACCTGAGTGTTGCGTGTGCATCAGTTTTACAGATCTTATTCTCTTGAATACAGACTGTTGGTTCCTTGCCTCTCCGGCAGATGCACTCCGACTTTAAAGGAAGCTCCCCAATTAGCCGACTCTTACGACATGCTTTTGGGGAGGCAGTGGGTCTATTCTTGTTTTCCCCACAATGGGGCCCCGGAACCCACACGGGGGTGGTGGTTATTCTACTTGACATCACAGCTGTCACAGACAGTAACAGATTAGTGGTGATTGTACTTGACATCACAGATAGTAGCAGATTGGTGGTGATTGTACTTGACATCACAGACAGTAACAGTTTGATAGTGATTGTACTTGACATCACAGACAGTAACAGTTTGATGGTGATTGTACTTGACATAACAGCTGTCACAGACAATAACAGTTTAATGGTGATTCTACTTGACATCACAGCTGTCACAGACAGTGACTCATTGGTGGTGATTATATGTGACATCACAGCTGTCATAGAAAGTGACAGATTGGTTGGTGATTAAGTTTGACATCACAGCTGTCTTAGAAAGTGACAGATTGGTTGGTGATTGTGTTTGATATCACAGCTGTCATAGAAAGTGACAGATTGGTTGGTGATTGTGTTTGACATCACAGCTGTCATAGAAAGTGACAGATTGGTTGGTGATTGTGTTTGACATCACAGCTGTCATAGAAAGTGCAGATTGGTTGGTGATTGTGTTTGACATCACAGCTGTCATAGAAAGTGACTAATTAGTTGTTTTTGGTTTCCAATTACAGCAGCCCAACAAGAAACGGAAGAACAAAAAGAAGGGAAGTGGGGAGAAAGTCGGTGACAAGCCGGACTCTGCAACTGTGCCCTCGTTGTCTCTAAACCTGCAGGAGAAGACAGCCGTCAATGGGAAGACAGGCCTGCTACCTGAAAACAGTGTCCATGGTAACTGACATTGTCACTGTACATGGTGTGTCCATGGTAACACATTGTTACTGTACCTGGTGTGTCCATGGTAACTGATATTGTCACTGTACCTGGTGTGTAGTATATGGTAACTGACATTGTTACTGTACCTGGTGTGTAGTACATGGTAACTGATATTGTCACTGTACCTGGTGTGTAGTACATGGTAACTGACATTGTCACTGTACCTGGTGTGTTCATGGTAACTGACATTGTCACTGTACCTGGTGTGTAGTACATGGTAACTGATATTGTCACTCTACCTGGTGTGTAGTACATGGAAACTGACATTGTCACTGTACCTGGTGTGTAGTATATGGTAACTGACATTGTCACTGTACCTGGTGTGTTCATGGTAACTGACATTGTCACTGTACCTGGTGTGTAGTACATGGATTCCTGACATTGTCACTCTACCTGGTGTGTAGTACATGGTAACTGACATTGTCACTGTACCTGGTGTGTAGTACATGGTAACTGACATTGTCACTGTACCTGGTGTGTAGTACATCGTAACTGACATTGTCACTCTACCTGGTGTGTTCATGGTAACTGACATTGTCACTCTACCTGGTGTGTAGTATATGGTAACTGACATTGTCACTGTACCTGGTGTGTTCATGGTAACTGACATTGTCACTGTACCTGGTGTGTAGTACATGGTAACTGACATTGTCACTGTACCTGGTGTGTAGTACATGGTAACTGACATTGTCACTGTACCTGGTGTGTAGTACATGGTAACTGACATTGTCACTGTACCTGGTGTGTAGTACATGGTGACATTGTCACTGTACCTGGTGTGTAGTACATGGTAACTGACATTGTCACTGTACCTGGTGTGTAGTACATGGTAACTGACATTGTCACTGTACCTGGTGTGTAGTACATGGTAACTGACATTGTCACTGTACCTGGTGTGTAGTACATGGTAACTGACATTGTCACTGTACCTGGTGTGTTCATGGTAACTGACATTGTCACTGTACCTGGTGTGTCCATGGTAACTGACATTGTCACTGTACCTGGTGTGTTCATGGTAACTGACATTGTCACTGTACCTGGTGGTGTATTGTCACTGTACATGGTAACTGACATTGTCACTGTACCTGGTGTGTTACATGGTAACTGACATTGTCACTGTACCTGGTGGTGTAACTGACATTGTCACTGTACCATGTTCATGGTAACTGACATTGTTACTGTACCTGGTGTGTAGTACATGGTAACTGACATTGTCACTGTACCTGGTGTGTAGTACATGGTAACTGACATTGTCACTGTACCTGGTGTGTAGTACATGGTAACTGACATTGTCACTGTACCTGGTGTGAGTACATGTAACTGACATTGTACCTGGTGTGTAGTACATGGTAACTGACATTGTCACTGTACCTGGTGTGTAGTACATGGTAACTGACATTGTCACTGTACCTGGTGTGTAGTACATGGTAACTGACATTGTCACTGTACCTGGTGTGTAGTACATGGTAACTGACATTGTCACTGTACCTGGGTGTGGTAGTACATGGTAACTGACATGGTGTCACTGTGACCACTGTACCTGGTGTGTAGTACATGGTAACTGACATTGTCACTGTACCTGGTGTGTACATGGTAACTGACATTGTCACTGTACCACTGTACTGACATTGTCACTGGTGTGTAGTACATGGTAACTGACATTGTCACTGTACCTGGTGTGTCCATGGTAACTGACATTGTCACTGTACCTGGTGTGTAGTACATGGTAACTGACATTGTCACTGTACCTGGTGTGTACATGGTAACTGACATTGTCACTGTACCGGGTGTGTGGTTCATGGTAACTGACATTGTCACTGTACCTGTTGGTAGTACATGGTAACTGACATTGTCACTGTACCTGGTTATTTCATGGTAACTGACATTGTCACTGTACCTGGTGTGAAGTATATGGTAACTGACATTGTCACTGTACCTGGTGTGTAGTACATGGTAACTGACATTGTCACTGTACCTGGTGTGTAGTACATGGTAACTGACATTGTCACTGTACCCGGTGTGTAGTACATGGTAACTGACATTGTCACTGTACCTGGTGTGTAGTACATGGTAACTGACATTGTCACTCTACCTGGTGTGTTCATGGTAACTGACATTGTCACTGTACCTGGTATGTCCATGGTAACACTGTCACTGTACCTGGTGTGTACATGCTAACACAGTCTCTGTGCCTTTTGTGTACATAGTAACATTGTTACTGTACCTGGTGTGTCCATGGTAACTGACATTGTTACTGTACCTGGTGTGTACATGGTAACATTGTTACTGTACCTGATGTGTACATGGTAACATTGTTTACTGTACCTGGTGTGTTCATGGTAACTGACATTGTTACTGTACCTGTTGTGTACATGGTAACATTGTTACTGTACCTGGTGTGTCCTTGGTAACTGACATTGTCACTGTACCTGTTGTGTCCATGGTAACTGACATTGTCACTGTACCAGTTGTGTACATGGTAACTGACATTGTAACTGTACCTGGTGTGTACATAGTAACATTGTTACTGTACCTGGTGTGTTCATGGCAGCATTGTCCAGAAAAGTGCATCATGTTAGCTCTAAGGAGAACAGGGAATCCATGAGAGGGCATCATGTCAGCTGTAAGAAGAACAGGGAATCCATGAGAGTGCATCATGTCAGCTGTAAGAAGAACAGGGAATCCTTGAGAGTGCATCATGTCAGCTGTAAGAAGAACAAGGAATCCATGAGAGTGCATCATGTCAGCTGGAACAAAGATACACACTTGGGGGGGGGGGGTTTGGCTAAGTGGGGAATGAGTGACAGCTGCTGAACTGTCAGATACAACCACCTCTTCCTTCAACAGTCAACCCTCCTTTTGTTCTTACACATTCTCTCTCTCTCTCTCTCTCTCTCTCTCTCTCTCTCTCTCTCTCTCTCTCTCTTTCTTTCTCTCTCTCTCTCTCTCTCTTTCCCTCTCTCTCTCTCTCTCTCTCTCTCTTTCTTTCTTTCTCTCTCTCGTGTTTCTGATTATATTCAATATTGTACCCCTTACAGACAATCAGACAGATGAAGAGACCCCTGTGTCCATGCCGAAACTCCCCCCCTTGACATCCATGGATGTGTCCGATCCCGTCGTATCATCTTCATTACCTGACTCCTCAACTGTGCCATCATCATCATCTCACATGGAGGCATCAGCAAGCACAGACCCTCAGCTCCAGCAACAGTCTCACACAAAGTCTGCTAGCCATGGCGGTAGGCATTCTCTACTTTAATATCACTTATGCATGTCTTAGCGGGCATTCAGTCATGAGGCTGGAAGTGCACTCTCAGTTATAGAGCTAGGAGTGGGCTCTTGATCATAGAGCTAGAAGTGGACTGTGTTTAGGGCTAGAAATAGGTTGTTTAGGGATTGAAGATGGTTGTGTTTGTTTAGAGCAAGAAATGGGCTTTGTTTAGAGCTAGAAATGGGCTGTGTTAAGAGCTATAAATGAGTTGCGTTTGTTAAGACTAAGAAATGGGCTGTTAGAGCAAGAAATGGGCTGTGTTTAGAGCAAGAAATGGGCTGTTAGAGCAAGAAATGGGCTGTGTTTAGAGCAAGAAATGGGCTGTGTTTAGAGCTAGAAATGGGCTGTGTTTAGAGCTAGACATAGGCTGTGTTTAGAGCTAGACATGGGCTGTGTTTAGAGCAAGAAATGGGCTGTTAGAGCAAGAAATGGGCTGTGTTTAGAGCTAGACATGGGCTGTGTTTAGAGCTAGACATGGGCTGTGTTTAGAGCAAGAAATGGGCTGTGTTTAGAGCTAGACATGGGCTGTGTTTAGAGCAAGAAATGGGCTGTTGGAGCAAGAAATGGGCTGTGTTTAGAGCTAGACATAGGCTGTGTTTAGAGCTAGAAATGGGCTGTTAGAGCAAGAAATGGGCTGTTAGAGCAAGAAATGGGCTGTTAGAGCAAGAAATGGGCTGTGTTTAGAGCTAGACATAGGCTGTGTTTAGAGCAAGAAATGGGCTGTGTTTAGAGCAAGAAATGGGCAGTGTTTAGAGCTAGACATGGGCTGTGTTTAGAGCAAGAAATGGGCTGTGTTTAGAGCTAGACATGGGCTGTGTTTAGAGCTAGAAATGGGCTGTGTTTAGAGCTAGAAATGGGCTGTGTTTAGAGCTAGAAATGGGCTGTGTTTAGAGCTAGAAATGGGCTGTGTTTAGAGCAAGAAATAGGCTGTGTTTGGAGCTAGAAATGGGCTGTGTTTAGAGCTAGAAATGGGCTGTGTTTAGAGCAAGAAATGGGCTGTGTTTAGAGCTAGAAATGGGCTGTGTTTAGAGCTAGAAATGGGCTGTGTTTAGAGCAAGAAATAGGCTGTGTTTGGAGCAAGAAATAAGCTGTTAGAGCAAGAAATGGGCTGTGTTTAGAGCTAGACATGGGCTGTGTTTAGAGCTAGACATGGGCTGTGTTTAGAGCAAGACATGGGCTGTGTTTAGAGCTAGACATGGGCTGTGTTTAGAGCTAGACATGGGCTGTGTTTAGAGCTAGACATAGGCTGTGTTTAGAGCTAGACATGGGCTGTGTTTAGAGCAAGATATGGGCTGTTAGAGCAAGAAATGGGCTGTGTTTAGAGCTAGACATAGGCTGTGTTTAGAGCAAGAAATGGGCTGTGTTTAGAGCAAGAAATGGGCTGTGTTTGAAGCTAGAAATGGGCTGTGTTTGGAGCTAGAAATGGGCTGTGTTTAGAGCTAGACATGGGCTGTGTTTAGAGCAAGAAATGGGCTGTGTTTGGAGCTAGAAATGGGCTGTGTTTAGAGCTAGACATGGGCTGTGTTTAGAGCAAGAAATGGGCTGTGTTTGGAGCTAGAAATGGGCTGTGTTTAGAGCTAGACATGGGCTGTGTTTAGAGCTAGACATGGGCTGTGTTTAGAGCTAGACATAGGCTGTGTTTAGAGCTAGACATGGGCTGTGTTTAGAGCTAGACATGGGCTGTGTTTAGAGCTAGAAATGGGCTGTGTTTAGAGCAAGAAATAGGTTGTGTTTGGAGCTAGAAATGGGCTGTGTTTAGAGCTAGACATGGGCTGTGTTTAGAGCAAGAAATGGGCTGTGTTTAGAGCTAGAAATGGGCTGTGTTTAGAGCTAGAAATGGGCTGTGTTTAGAGCAAGAAATAGGCTGTGTTTGGAGCAAGAAATAAGCTGTTAGAGCAAGAAATGGGCTGTGTTTAGAGCTAGACATGGGCTGTGTTTAGAGCAAGAAATGGGCTGTGTTTAGAGCTAGACATGGGCTGTGTTTAGAGCTAGACATAGGCTGTGTTTAGAGCTAGACATGGGCTGTGTTTAGAGCTAGACATGGGCTGTGTTTAGAGCAAGAAATAGACTGTGTTTAGAGCAAGAAATTTGCTGTGTTTAGAGCAAGAAATGGGCTGTGTTTAGAGCTAAAAATGGGCTGTGTTTAGAGCTAGAAATGGGCTGTGTTTAATTAGAGCTCTGTTGACCTGTCCCTGTAAGAAGCTGTTCTGTGTTGACCTGTCCCTGTAAGAAGCTGTTCTGTGTTGACCTGTCCCTGTAAGAAACTGTTCTGTGTTGACATGTCCCTGTAAGAAGCTGTTCTGTGTTGACCTGTCCCTGTAAGAAGCTGTTCTGTGTTGACATGTCCCTGTAAGAAGCTGTTCTGTGTTGACATGTCCCTGTAAGAAGCTGTTCTGTGTTGACATGTCCCTGTAAGAAGCTGTTCTGTGTTGACCTGTCCCTGTAAGAAGCTGTTCTGTGTTGACCTGTCCCTGTAAGAAACTGTTCTGTGTTGACATGTCCCTGTAAGAAGCTGTTCTATGTTGACCTGTCCCTGTAAGAAGCTGTTCTGTGTTGACCTGTCCCTGTAAGAAGCTGTTCTGTGTTGACCTGTCCCTGTAAGAAGCTGTTCTATGTTGACCTGTCCCTGAAAGAAGCTGTTCTGTGTTGACCTGTCCCTGTAAGAAGCTGTTATGTGTTTGCAGATTCCCATCATCAGAGACAGTACAGCCCCAGAGAGAGAACAATCAGTGAGGTCAGCACAGGGTCAGCTATGGGAGATGGACACCACAAGAAACCACACCAAGGTACACATACACTGATGATGTCACTAATGCCTGATTTTTCTGGATTTATTCTCTTTGTCTTCATCTGTGTGAAAGATGCTAGCAGAATCTGTTCTTCAGTTAGTTCTTGATCATTTTCTGGTTTCACTGGGGTTTTTTTTTTTTAAAGAGGTTTTTTTTTTCAATTACTCTATAAAATTGTGTTTTGGAATTAAGACATAATAAATTTTAGTTGTTTTTAGGAAGAAAAGTACTGTAACATGTGGTTTCTTGGAGGAGAGGCAGGGGTTAACCAGCTGTTTGTGTTTGTACCTCTTTTAAACATTGGAGTGGCTCCTATTGGCTGTTCAAGCAACAGCTGGCATTTATGTGTGAAGCCACAAGGGATATGTTGTAGCTTGATTTGTTTACTTTCCAGATTCGTTGCCAGATGTTCGCCATGATGCTCCTACAGATAAAATCATTCCACCTTAACCCTAATGAGCACATTAACAAGATCCTTCTTCATTTTCTTCTCATCAAACTCTGGTGGAAAGTTCTGTTTATTTATCCACTTTTGCTTGCACATCCATTTTAGTGATTGAGCTTATTTGTTTGCAGACTGTTGGTTCCTCACTTTTCAGGCAGATGCCTTCTAACTGTGAAGGAGGCACCCCTAATTAGTTTATATTTACAACATGTTTGTGAGGGAAGCAGTGGATCAGTTGTTCACCCCTAGTTAGTTTATAATTACAACATGTTTGTGAAGGAAGCAGTGGATCAGTTGTTCACCCCTAGTTAGTTTATATTTACAACATGTTTGTGAGGGAAGCAGTGGATCAGTTGTTCACCCCTAGTTAGTTTATATTTACAACATGTTTGTGAGGGAAGCAGTGGATCAGTTGTTCACCCCTAGTTAGTTTATATTTACAACATGTTTGTGAGGGAAGCAGTGGATCAGTTGTTCACCCCTAGTTAGTTTATATTTACAACATGTTTGTGAGGGAAGCAGTGGATCAGTTGTTCACCCCTAGTTAGTTTATATGTACAACATGTTTGTGAGGGAAGCAGTGGGTCAGTTGTTCACCCCTAGTTAGTTTATATTTACAACATGTTTGTGAGGGAAGCAGTGGGTCAGTTGTTCACCCCTAGTTAGTTTATATGTACAACATGTTTGTGAGGGAAGCAGTGGGTCAGTTCTTCTTCTTCACCCCAAAATGGAGCCCTAGAACACACTCGGGGTTTAATCAATCTAATCCTCTCATTTTAAACTAATCAATAACAGTCTTGTTTTAAAAAAAAATTATTTTAATATTCACCTGTTATTGCGTGTATTAACTCTTTGAGTCCCAGGGTGTTTAGCATCACTGGCCCAGGGGGTAGTTAAGAAAGTCATAAAATCGGCGCATCATGTGTTCATTGGGCTTCTTGGTAGGAATCTATGAACGTGTGATGCGTTCCTTGGGACTAAAAGAGTTAAGCACTTTAGTTGGTGGGGGGAGGGGTTTGAGGGTTTAGGGCCAAATGGCTAATGCATTCGCCACAGTCTGTGCAGGTTGGGATTTTATTTTTGCCCACGACAGCCCAGCATTCTAACCATTTGGACAGCCTATCCAACTGTTTGTCCAGCTGATCCAACCATTCGGCCAGCTGATCCAACTATTTGGCCAGCTGATCCAACCATTCGGCCAGCTGATCCAACAATTTTTCTGTGATGAAATGAAGACACTTGATATTGGATTGGTAAATGATGACCTCTAGTTTGTATCCTGGGACAAACAGGGCACAACTCTGCAGTGATATCTGTCCCTTCTGTCCAGGTCTTGAAAAGGCAGTTAAAGACCTCCACCGGCAGACAACATCCCTGGAACGTCTGCGGCTTCTCCTGGACCATGAGATTGACCGATCCATCAAAAGTATTAAGTCCGTCTTTGAAGAATTGCGCCAAGGGTGAGTTCGTTTACTGTGTTCAGTGTTCGAAGATCGACATTGAAGGTATTTCCCTTTGTTTGTGAGTAATGATGTAACATCCCACTCCAACAGCACAGCACATCCACACTGTGTGGGACAGAACAACAGAAGCACACAACATCCACACTGAGTAAGACAACACAACAGCAGCACACATCCGCACTGTGAGACAACACAGCAGAAGCACACATCCACACTGTGAGACAACACAGCAGCAGCACACATCCACACTGTGAGACAACACAGCAGCAGCACACATCCACACTGTGAGACAACACAACAGCAGCACACATCCACACTGTGAGACAACACAACAGCAGCACACATCCACACTGTGTGAGACAGCACAACAGCAGCACACATCCACACTGTGAGACAACACACCAGGAGCACACATCCACGCTGTGTGAGACAACACACCAGGAGCACACATCATGTCTACACTGTGTGAGACAACACATTAGGAGCACACCACACATCTACACTGTGTGAGACAACACACCAGGAGCACACCACACATCTACACTGTGTGACAACACACCAGGTGCACACAACACATCTACACTGTGTTAGACAACACACCAGGAGCACACCACACTACACTGTGTGAGACAACACACCAGGAGCACACAACACATCTACACTCAGTGAGACAACACACCAGGAGCACACATGTCTACACTGTGTGAGACAACACACCAGGAGCACACATCTACACTGTGTGAGACAACACACCTGGAGCACACATCTACACTGTGTGAGACAACACACAAGGAGCACACATCCACACTGTGTGAGACAACACACCAGGAGCACACCACACATCTACACTGTGTGAGACAACACACCAGGAGCACACAACACATCTACACTGTGTGAGACAACACATCAGGAGCACACAATACATCTACACTGTGTGAGACAACACACCAGAAGCACACATCATGTCTACACTGTGTGACAACACACCAGGAGCAGACAACACATCTACACTGTGTGCGACAACACAGCAGGAGCACATATCTACACTGTGTTAGACAACACACCAGGAGCACACATCATGTCTACACTGTGTGAGACAACACACCAGGAGCACACATCCACACTGTGTGACAACACACCAGGAGCACACATCTACACTGTGTTAGACAACACACCAGGAGCACACATCATGTCTACACTGTGAGACAACACACCAGGAGCACACATCACATCTACACTGTGTGAGACAACACACCAGGAGCACACAACACATCTACACAGTGTGAGACAACTCACCAGGAGCACACAACACATCTACACTGTGTGTGACAACACACCAGGAGCACACATCACATCTACACTGAGACAACACACCAGGAGCACACAACACATCTACACTGTGTGAGACAACTCACCAGGAGCACACAACACATCTACACTGTGTGTGACAACACACCAGGAGCACACATCACATCTACACTGAGACAACACACCAGGAGCACACAACACATCTACACTGTGTGAGACAACACACCAGGAGCACACATTATGTCTACACTGTGACAACACACCAGGAGCACACCACACATCTACACTGACAACACACCAGGAGCACACAACACATCTAGACTGTGTGAGACAACTCACCAGGAGCACACAACACATCTACACTGTGTGTGACAACACACCAGGAGCACACATCACATCTACACTGAGACAACACATCTACACTGTGTGAGACAACTCACCAGGAGCACACAACACATCTACACTGTGTGACAACACACCAGGAGCACACATCACATCTACACTGAGACAACACACCAGGAGCACACAACACATCTACACTGTGTGAGACAACACACCAGGAGCACACATCTACACTGTGTGAGACAACACACCAGGAGCACACATCTACACTGTGAGACAACACAACAGGAGCACACAACATGTCTACACTGTGTGAGATAACACACCAGGAGCACACAACACATCTACACTGTGTGAGACAACACACCAGGAGCACACATCTACACTGTGTGAGACAACACCCCAGGAGCACACATCTACACTGTGAGACAACACAACAGGAGCACACAACATGTCTACACTGTGTGAGATAACACACCAGGAGCACACAACATGTCTACACTGTGTGAGACAACACACCAGCAGCACACAACACATCTACAATAGTCAGCTCTGGTTTTACAGACAGTATTCACATTAATGCATCCAATCACTAAACCTGGTTTTGTACACCTGGGCTGCAGCAGTAGATGGTGATGAGCATGCGAAGCAACTGGCATATAATGCACTGTTACATTGGTAAAAAGCTGCCATACCCCAGAAACAGTGCTACTGCCATGCCCCAGAAACAGTGCTACTGCCATGCCCCAGAAACAGTGCTACTGCCATGCCCCAGAAACAGTGCTACTGCCATACCCCAGTAACATTGCTGCTGTCATACCCCAGAAACAGTGCTACTGCCATGCCCCAGTAACAGTGCTACTGCCATGCCCCAGTAACAGTGCTGCTGTCATACCCCAGTAACAGTGCTGCTGTCATACCCCAGTAACAGTGCTGCTGCCATGCCCCAGTAACATTGCTGCTGCCATGCCCCAGTAACATTGCTGCTACCATGCCCCAGTAACATTGCTGCTATCATGCCCCAGTAACATTGCTGCTACCATGCCCCAGTAACATTGCTGATACCATACCCTAGTAACATTGCTGCTGCCATGCCCCAGTAACATTGCTACTGCCATGCCCCAGTAACAGTTCTGCTACCATACCCCAGTAACATTACTGCTGCCATGCCCCAGTAACATTACTGCTGCCATGCCCCAGTAACATTACTGCTGCCATGCCCCAGTAACAGTACTGCTGCCATGCCCCAGTAACAGTGCTACTGCCATGCCCCAGTAACAGTGCTACTGCCATGCCCCAGTAACAGTACTGCTGCCATGCCCCAGTAACAGTTCTACTGCCATGCCCCAGTAACAGTGCTACTGCCATGCCCCAGTAACAGTGCTGCTGCCATGCCCCAGTAACAGTTCTGCTACCATGCCCCAGTAACAGTGCTGCTGCCATGCCCCAGAAACAGTATTGCCTTTATATCCTACAGGCTGAACAACAGGGAAGAGCAGCTGATGGCTGAGATGGAGGTGTTGAAGACAGAAGCTTGTGAGTATCCCTTCTATGAACACTGTTCATTGTTGTCTCAGAGTGACTGTATGTATCTGTAGTCAACCTGACTGTCAGTGTTATATATTTCTGTAGTTGAGCTGCCTGTCAGTGTTGTATGTTTCTGTAATTGACCTGACTTTCAGTTTTGTATGTTTCTGTAGTTGACCTGACTTTCAGTGTTGTCTGTATGTTTCTGTAGTTTACCTGACTCTCAGTGGTGTATTTTTCTGTAATTGACAACTCTCAGTGTTGTATGTTTCTGTAGTTGACCTAGCTCTCAGTTTTGTATGTTTCTGTAGTTGACCTCGCTCTCAGTGTTGTGTGTTTGTGTAGTTGACCTGATAGTCAGTGTTGTATATTTATTTAGTTGACCTAACTCTCAGTGTTGTATGTTTCTATAGTTGACCTAGCTCTGTGTTGTGTGTGTGTGTAGTTGACCTGACAATCAGTGTTGTATGTTTCTTTAGTTGACCTGACTCTCAGTGTTGTATATTTATTTAGTTGACCTAACTCTCAGTGGTGTATGTTTGTGTAGTTGACCTGACTGTCAGGGGTGTATGTTTGTGTAGTTGACCTAACTCTCAGTGGTGAATGTTTGTGTAGTTGACCTGACTCTCAGGGGTGTATGTTTGTGTAGTTGACCTGACTCTCAGTGGTGTATGTTTGTGTAGTTGACCTGAATCTCAGTGGTGTATGTTTGTGTAGTTGACCTGACTATCAGGGGTGTATGTTTGTGTAGTTGACCTGACTCTCAGGGGTGTATGTTTGTGTAGTTGACCTAACTCTCAGTGGTGAATGTTTGTGTAGTTGACCTAACTCTCAGTGGTGAAAGTTTGTGTAGTTGACCTGACTCTCAGTGGTGTATGTTTGTGTAGTTTACCTGACTCTCAGTGGTGAATGTTTGTGTAGTTGACCTGACTCTCAGTGGTGTATGTTTGTGTAGTTGACCTGACTCTCAGTGGTGTATGTTTGTGTAGTTGACCTGACTCTCAGTGGTGAATGTTTGTGTAGTTGACTTGAATCTCAGTGGTGTATGTTTGTGTAGTTGACCTGACTCTCAGGTGTGTATGTTTGTGTAGTTGACCTGACTCTCAGTGGTGTATGTTTGTATAGTTGACCTAACTCTCAGTGGTGTATGTTTGTGTAGTTGACCTAACTCTCAGTGGTGAATGTTTGTGTAGTTGACCTGACTCTCAGTGTTGTGTGTTTGTGTAGTTGACCTGACTCTCAGTGTTGTATGTTTGTGTAGTTGAGCTAACTCTCAGTGGTGTATGTTTGTGTAGTTGACCTAACTCTCAGTGGTGTATGTTTGTGTAGTTGACCTGACTCTCAGTGTTGTATGTTTGTGTAGTTGACCTAACTCTCAGTGGTGAATGTTTGTGTAGTTGACCTGACTCTCAGTGGTGTATGTTTGTGTAGTTGACCTGACTCTCAGTGGTGTATGTTTGTGTAGTTGACCTGACTCTCAGTGGTGTATGTTTGTGTAGTTGACCTAACTCTCAGTGGTGTATGTTTGTGTAGTTCACCTGACTCTCAGTGGGGAATGTTTGTGTAGTTGACCTGACTCTCAGTGGTGTATGTTTGTGTAGTTGACCTGACTCTCAGTGTTGTGTGTTTGTGTAGTTCACCTGACTCTCAGTGGTGTATGTTTGTGTAGTTCACCTGACTCTCAGTGGTGTATGTTTGTGTAGTTCACCTGACTCTCAGTGGTGAATGTTTGTGTAGTTGACCTGACTCTCAGTGGTGAATGTTTGTGTAGTTCACCTGACTCTCAGTGGTGTATGTTTGTGTAGTTCACCTGACTCTCAGTGGTGAATGTTTGTGTAGTTCACCTGACTCTCAGTGGTGAATGTTTGTGTAGTTGACTTCCAACCCTGTAAATTGTTGTGTCACAGCAAGCTGTTGTCCTGGCAGAGATAAACTCCAGTCAGAGTGTTGTTTGTGTTGACTATCTATTGACAATGATTATGTGACCAGCCGACATGTTGCAGATACTGTTAGACGGGCCTGCATGCCCATTTGTTTCATCTGTCTGTTGGTGATGTTGATAGTGCTTTCCTTCTGTGTATCATCATATTGACATCATTTGTTTCATCTGTCTGTTGGTGATGTTGATAGTGCTTTCCTTCTGTGTATCATCATATTGACAATGAATCTGTCTGTTGGTGATGTTGATAGTGCTTTCCTTCTGTGTATCATCATATTGACAATGAATCTGTGACTCCACAACCCAGCCGACATGCTGGAGATGAGACAAGCCAAGGCCACTGAGCTGAAGCGACAAGTGGACAGGTCAGACAGGCTGAAGGACACTGAGATCACAGAACTTAGAGCTGAAATCAAGGTATGTCCCTTTAGCTGGGGTTAATGTGCTACCATGACATTTGTCCCTCTACCTGTGGTTGGTGTGCTACCATGACATTTGTCCCTCTACCTGTGGTTGGTGTGCTACCATGACATTTGTTCCTCTACCTGTGGTTGGTGTGCTACCATGACATTTGTTCCTCTACCTGTGGTTGGTGTGCTACCATGACATTTGTCCCTCTACCTGTGGTTGGTGTGCTACCATGACATTTGTCCCTCTACCTGTGGTTGGTGTGCTACCATGACATTTGTCCCTCTACCTGTGGTTGGTGTGCTACCATGACATTTGTTCCTCTACCTGTGGTTGGTGTGCTACCATGACATTTGTCCCTCTACCTGTGGTTGGTGTGCTACCATGACATTTGTCCCTCTACCTGTGGTTGGTGTGCTACCATGACATTTGTCCCTCTATCTTTTGTTGATGTGCGACAATGACATTTGTCCCTCTACCTTTTGTTGATGTGCTACCATGACATTTGCCCCTCTACCTTTTGTTGATGTGCTACCATGACATTTGTCCCTCTACCTTTTGTTGATGTGCTACCATGATATTTGTCCCTCTATATCTGGTTAATGTGCTACCATGACATTTGTCCCTCTACCTGTGGTTGGTGTGCTACCATGACATTTGTCCCTCTACCTGTGGTTGGTGTGCTACCATGACATTTGTCCCTCTACCTGTGGTTGGTGTGCTACCATGACATTTTTCCCTCTACCTGTGGTTGGTGTGCTACCATGACATTTGTCCCTCTACCTGTGGTTGGTGTGCTAGCATGACATTTTTCCCTCTACCTGTGGTTGGTATGCAACCATGATATTTGTCCCTGTACTTGTGGTTGGTGTTCTAATAACCCTGTACTCGGACAATATGAACCCTGTAGTCAGACTATATGAACCCTGTACTCAGACAAGATAAACCCTGTACTCAGACAATATGAACCCTGTACTCAGACAGTATGAACCCTGTACTCAGACAGTATGAACCGTGTACTCAGACAGTATGAACCCTGTACTCAGACAATATGAACCTGTACTCAGACAGTATTAACCCTGTACTGAGATAATGGAAACACTGCACTAAAATAGGCTGTATTTGTCCTCAGCATTTTGTGAGTGAACGGAGACATGACGAGGATCTGGGTCGAACCACGAGGTTTCTGTATGACTCTGACCACATGCTGGACGAGTTTCGCAAGTTTGGTGAAGGTTTGTAACCATGCTTGTGTTGGTCTCACTTGGTTTATTAGCATCATGACGGGGGGGAGGGGGGGGGGGGCAGATGTGATGGCAGATACAAAACATGAGTTCTGGTGGTGGCAGACATAAAACATGAGTTCTGGTGGCAGACATAAAACATGAGATCTGGTGGCAGACATAAAACATGAGATCTGATGGCAGACATAAAACATGAGATCTGATGGCAGATACAAAACATGAGTTCTGGTGGCAGACATAAAACATGAGATATGGTGGCAGACATAAAACATGAGATCTGGTGGCATACATAAAACATGAGATCTGGTGGCAGACATAAAACATGAGTTCTGGTGGCAGACATAAAACATGAGTTTTGGTGGCAGACATAAAACATGAGATCTGGTGGCAGACATAAAACATGAGATCTGGTGGCAGACATAAAACATGAGTGAATTTATGTATATGTGTATGCATGTAGATACATATGTGAGTGTAAGTATGTATGTATGTATGTTGGTATATATGTGAGTATAAGTATGTATGTATCTGTGGGAGCATTTATTAGTGTATATATGTATGTGTATTAATGTGTGTGTGTTTGTATGTGTGTGTGTGTGTGTATGTATCTATCTGTGGGCGCATGTATCAGTGCATGGATGTATGTGGGTCTGCTTGCATGTGTGTATGTATGTACGTGTGTGGGTGTGGGTGCACATATCAGTGTATGTATGTGTGTATATATATGTCTGTGTATGTATGTATGTGAGTATGTATGTAGGACCATGTAAAAGTGTGTTTACCTGTTTTTTTTTTAGTTGTATATGATTGTGTACATTTGATGTGTGTATGCATTTTTTCATTATGTATATTTTCAAACACACATAACATAGACATAACATGCGTTATTGATAACATGCAGTTATAGTCTGACAGATAGGTGGTTCTAAGGGCCAAATGCAAGACGAGCCTGAGTGCCCAATTTGTAACCCTTTGAAAACAAAGTTTGTTTGTTCCTTCAGTTTCATTATCCCAATGTGGCTTGTGAGGAAACTGAATAGACTCCCTGCTACAAGAAACACTCCCTGCTACAAGACACACTGCCTGCTACAAGACACAAGACACATTCCCTGCTACAAGACACAAGACACACTCCCTGCTACAAGACACAAGACACACTCCCTGCTACAAGACACAAGACACATTCCCTGCTACAAGACACAAGACACACTCCCTCCTACAAGACACAAGACACACTCCCTGCTAAAAGACACATTCCCTGCTACAAGACACACTCCCTGCTACAAGACACAAGACACACTCCCTGCTACAAGACACACTGTTTGCTACAAGACACACTCCCTGCTACAATTAACGCTCCCTGCTACAATAAACACCTGCTACAAGATACACTCCCTGCTACAAGACACACTCCCTGCTACAAGACACACTCCCTGCTATAAGGCACACTCCTTGCTACAAGAAACACTCCCTGCTACAAGACACACTCCCTGCTACAAGAAACACTCCCTGCTACAAGACACACTCCCTGCTACAAGACACAAGACACAGTCCCTGCTACAAGACACAATCCCTGCTACTATGAACACGCCCTGCTACAATTAACATTCCCTGCTACAAACCACACTCCCTGTTACAAGACACACTGCCTGCTACAAGACACACTCCCTGCTACAAGGCATGCCCTGCTACAAGACACAAGGTGCACTCCCTGCTACAAGACACTCCCTGCCACAAAACACATGCCCTGCTACAAGGCATAGGACACACTCAATGCTACAAGACACACTCCCTGCTACAACACACATGCTCTGCTACAAGGCATAAGACACACTCCCTGTTACAAGACACAAGACACACTCCCTGCTACAAGACACATGACACAATCCCTGCTACAAGACTCATTCACTGCTACAAGACACAAAACACACTTCCTGCTACAAGACACAAAACACACTCCCTACTACAAGACACAAGATACACTTTCTGCTACAAGACACACTTTCTGCTACAAGACACACTTTCTGCTACAAGACACACTTTCTGCTACAAGACACACTTTCTGCTACATGACACACTTTCTGCTACAAGACACACTTTCTGCTACAAGACACACTTTCTGCTACAAGGCACACTTTTTGCTAAATGACACAATCCCTGCTACAAGGTACACTTCCTGCTACAAGAAACACTCCCTGCTACAAGACACACTCCCTGCTACAAGAAACACTCCCTGCTACTATGAACACTGCCTGCTACAATTAACATTCCGTGCTACAAAACACACTCCCTGTTACAAGACAGACTGCCTGCTACAAGACACAATACACACTCCCTGCTACAAGACATGCCCTGCTACAAGACACAAGATGCACTCCCTGCTACAAGACACTCCCTGCCACAAGACACATGCCCTGCTACAAGGCACAAGACACACTCACTGCTACAAGACACACTCCCTGCTACAACACACATGCTCTGCTACAAGGCATAAGACACACTCCCTGTTACAAGACACAAGACACACTTCCTGCTACAAGACACACTCCTTGCTACAACACACATGCTCTGCTACAAGGCATAAGACACACTACCTGCTACAAGACACAAGACACACTCCCTGCTACAAGACACACTCCTTGCTACAACACACACTTCCTGCTACAACACACATGCTCTGCTACAAGGCACAAGACATACTCCCTGCTACAAGACACACTCCCTGCTACAAGACACACTCCCTGCTACAAGACACACTCTCTGCTACAAGACACACTCTCTGCTAGAAGACACTCTTCCTGCTACTATGAACACTCCCTGCTACAAGACACATTCCCTGCAACAATGAACACTCACTGCCACAAGACACATTCCCTGCAACAATGAACACCTCCTGCCACAAGACACATTCCCTGCAACAATGAACACCTCCTGCTACAAGACACATTCCCTGCAACAATGAACACCTCCTGCCACAAGACACATTCCCTGCAACAATGAACACCTCCTGCCACAAGACACATTCCCTGCAACAATAAACACCTCCTCCCACAAGACACATTCCCTGCAACAATGAACACCCCCTGCTCCTTAACAAGCTTGTCATAAAAGGCAGCTAAGGATTTTGTGGAATTAAATGAGTTGTCCTGAAATGCAGATATTTGACAGTCTAACTGTAAACCACAAGACAGTGTGCCCTGTGAAGAATGAACACAGATGAAGATCATCAAAATTCCATTTTGGTTTCTGACATCACTCGTTTTGTTTGTTTGTCTATTCATGTGTCACTTTCAGCATCTCTACTGCTCCACAGTGGTGCATGTCAAGTCGCTGTACACGGCACGCAAGGCCTCCGTGTCATCTGTAGCCAGCACTGGCCTGAGCCCTGAAGGTAGGTCTGCACCAGTTCTTGTTTGTTGGCTTGCACAATACAACCTCCCTGCTACAAGACACACTTTCTGCTACAAGACACACTCCCTGCTACAAGGCACACTCCCTGCTACAAGACACACTCCCTGCTACAAGACACACTCCCTGTTACAACACACATGCTCTGCTATAAGACACACTCCTTGCTACAAGACACACTCCCTGCTACAAGACACTCTTTCTGCTACAAAACTCACTCCCTGCTACAACACTCATGCTCTGCTATAAGACACACTCCTTGCTACAAGACACACTCCCTGCTACAACACATATGCTCTGCTATAAGACACACTCCTTGCTACAAGAAACAAGACACACTTTCTGCTACAAGAAACACTTCCTGCTACAAGACACACTCCCTGCTACAAGACACACTCCCTGCTACAAGACACACTCCCTGCTACAAGACACATTCCCTGCTACAAGACACACTCCCTGCTACAAGACACACTTCCTGCTACAAGACACACTCCCTGCTACAAGACACACTCCCTGCTACAAGACACACTCCCTGCTACAATGATGATGGCTGAGATGTGACTTATGCTTTCTGTATCCGCAGGCAATCATGAAGAAGACTGGTCTCACTCCCAGGAACTCACTGAACTGCAGGACAGGCTCAAGAACTCAGTGAGGCTGCAGGTAGCAACTAGTCTCTTTACTTTTGTTCTCCCCTGTCTCAAATCTCACATATGTTCAGTCAAATCCTCATCACATGGTTATTGTCTGTAGCACAAGAGTCACTTGGACATGTCCTTATGGAGTTGGCACATAGAATGAATAAACATTGACAGGAACAAGAGCAACCAGTGTCATGTGATCAACACCTGGAAGAGTGTGATCATCACCTGGAAGTGTGTGATCAACACCTGGAAGTGTGTGATCATCACCTGGAAGTGTGTGATCATCACCTGGAAGTGTGTGGTCATCACCTGGAAGTGTGTGGTCATCACCTGGAAGTGTGTGATCATCACCTGAAAATGTGTGATCATCACCTGGAAGTGTGTGATCATCACCTGGAAGTGTGTGATCATCACCTGGAAGTGTGTAGTCATCACCTGGGAGTGTGTGATCATCACCTGGAAGTGTGTGATCCAACGTTGTTTGTTGGGAGGGAGGTCCTGCAGGTTAAATCTTTTATAGATTCATAATGCTGGGCTTAATTATGCACCAGTGTACATTGGTGGGTCTGTGCTGTAGTGTACATTGGTAGATCTGTGCTGTAGTGTACATTGGTAGATCTGTGCTGTAGTGTACATTGGTGGATCTGTGCTGTAGTGTACATTGGTAGATCTGTGCTGTAGTGTACATTGGTAGATCTGTGCTGTAGTGTACATTGGTAGATCTGTGCTGTAGTGTACATTGGTAGATCTGTGCTGTAGTGTACATTGGTGGATCTGTGCTGTAGTGTACATTGGTAGATCTGTGCTGTAGTGTACATTGGTAGATCTGTGATGTAGTGTACATTGGTAGATCTGTGCTGTAGTGTACATTGGTGGATCTGTGCTGTAGTGTACATTGGTAGATCTGTGCTGTAGTGTACATTGGTAAATCTGTGCTGTAGTATACATTGGTGGATCTGTGATGCAGTATACACTGGTGGATCCGTGCTGTAGTGTACATTGGTGGATCTGTGATGCAGTGAACACTGGTGGATCTGTGCTGAAGTGTACATTGGTGGATCTGTGCTGTAGTGTACATTGGTGGATCTGTGCTGCCTGATTCTGCATTTGAATGGGGTTTCTCGGCACAAATAAGAGGCACATTTATCACTGAGTGCCAGGTAAATACCTCCAGCATTGGAATGAACCAATGTACGAACAAACTTATTTTTCAAAAGGTTACAAATTGGGCCGCAGGCCCATCTTACATTTAGCCCTTCCAGGCACTCATCGTTCAGGCCATAATTGCATGTTATCAATAATGCATAGAAGCAACTTGCATAAACAATCATATACACTTGAAATATACACATACACATACACTATTATATGCCAGACACCTGCACATCCATACATGTACATACACACACTCATATTTACATCCTGATAAGAGTACATGCATGCACTCATGCTCATTCAGACACATACAAGTAACCAAATTTATGTGTGCAAATGCTTTACTCATGCTCATACAGCCACATACAAGTACCCACATTTATGTGTGCAAATACATGTACTCATGCTCATACAGCCACATACAAATGCATATTCACACTCTCACAAACATGCACAATTCCCTCTATGCTCACATGCACTTATACACAAGCACACAATACATGCATCCACATCTATACACATGCACTCTCATGCATACATACACTAATGCACACTTAGGTATGTAAATTCATATAAACACCCACACTCACATATCCACATACATTGACTCATGCATACAAACACATTCATACATACCCACACCTGAATACATATACATACTTACACATTGATACAAACCCAAACGTCAGTATATACATACACTCATACATACACAAACACCTATACATTCACAATTGCAAACATCCACACATCCTTAAACACCTTTACACACCCATACAATCTCAAACATACACAAGAACCTAATCATACACAAACACCAGTACCTACACAAACACCAGTACCTACACAAACACCAGTACCTACAAAAACACCAGTACCTACACAAACACCAATACCTACACAAAAACACCCATACATTCACAATCACCAGTACCTTCATAAACACCCATACATATCCTTCATAAAAACCCATACATACACAAGCATCAATACCTACAGAAACACCAATACCTACAGAAACACCAATACCTACAGAAACACCCATACATACACAAGCATCAATACCTACAGAAACACCAATACCTACAGAAACACCCATACATACACAAGCATCAATACCTACAGAAACACCAATACCTACAGAAACACCCATACATACACAAGCATCAATACCTACAGAAACACCAATACCTACAGAAACACCCATACATACACAAGCATCAATACCTACAGAAACACCAATACCTACAGAAACACCCATACATACACAAGCATCAATACCTACAGAAACACCAATACCTACAGAAACACCCATACATACACAAGCATCAATACCTACAGAAACACCAATACCTACAGAAACACCAATACCTACAGAAACACCAATACCTACAGAAACACCCATACATACACAAGCATCAATACCTACAGAAACACCAATACCTACAGAAACACCAATACCTACAGAAACACCAATACTACTACAGAAACACCCATACATACACAAGCATCAATACCTACAGAAACACCAATACCTACAGAAACACCAATACCTACAGAAACACCAATACCTACAGAAACACCCATACATACACAAGCATCAATACCTACAGAAACACCAATACCTACAGAAACACCAATACCTACAGAAACACCAATACCTACAGAAACACCCATACATACACAAGCATCAATACCTACAGAAACACCAATACCTACAGAAACACCAATACCTACAGAAACACCAATACCTACTGAAACACCAATACCTACAGAAACATCAATACATACAGAAACACCAATACCTACAGAAACATCAATACCTACAGAAACACCAATACCTACAGAAACACCAATACCTACAGAAACACCAATACCTACAGAAACATCAATACCTACAGAAACACCAATACCTACAGAAACACCCATACATACACAAGCATCAATACATACAGAAACACCAATACCTACAGAAACACCAATACCTACAGAAACACCAATACCTACAGAAACATCAATACCTACAGAAACACCAATACCTACAGAAACACCCATACATACACAAGCATCAATACATACAGAAACACCAATACCTACAGAAACACCAATACCTACAGAAACACCAATACCTACAGAAACATCAATACCTACAGAAACACCCATACATACAGAAACATCAATACCTACAGAAACACCAGTACCTACAGAAACACCAATACCTACAGAAACACCAGTACCTACAGAAACACCAATACCTACAGAAACAACCATACATACAAAAGCATCAATACCTACAGAAACACCAATACCTACAGAAACACCCATACCTACAGAAACACCAATACCTACAGAAACACCAATACCTACAGAAACACCAATACCTACAGAAACACCAATACCTACAGAAACACCAATACCTACAGAAACACCCATACATACACAAACACCAATACCTACACAAACACCAATACCTACACAAACACCAATACCTACACAAACACCAATACCTACACAAACACCAATACAAACACCAATACCTACACAAACACCAATACCTACACAAACACCAATACCTACACAAACACCAATACCTACACAAACACCAATACCTACACAAACACCAATACCTACACAAACACCAATACCTACACAAACACCAATACCTACAGAAACACCAATACCTACAGAAACACCCATACATACACAAGCATCAATACCTACAGAAACACCAATACCTACAGAAACACCAATACCTACAGAAACACCAATACCTACAGAAACACCAATACCTACAGAAACACCAATACCTACAGAAACACCAATACCTACAGAAACACCCATACATACACAAGCATCAATACCTACAGAAACACCCATACATACACAAACACCAATACCTACAGAAACACCAATACCTACAGAAACACCAATACCTACAGAAACACCCATACATACACAAACACCAATACCCACAGAAACACCAATACCCACAGAAACACCAATACCTACAGAAACACCCATACATACACAAACACCAATACCTACAGAAACACCAATACCTACAGAAACACCCATACATACACAAACACCAATACCCACAGAAACACCAATACCTACAGAAACACCAATACCTGCAGAAACATCCATACGCACACAAACACCAATACCTACAGAAACACCAATACCTATAGAAATACCAGTGCCTATAGAAACACTAATACCTACAGAAACACCCATACATACGCAAACACCCATACATACGCAAACACCCATACATACGCAAACACCCATACATACGCAAACACCCATACCTACAGAAACACCCATACCTACAGAAACACCAATACCTACAGAAACACCAATACATACGCAAACACCCATACCTACAGAAACACCAATACCTACAGAAACACCAATACCTACAGAAACACCAATACATACGCAAACAGCCATACCTACAGAAACACCAATACATACGCAAACAGCCATACCTACAGAAACACCAATACCTACAGAAACACCAATACATACGCAAACAGCCATACCTACAGAAACAGCCATATATTCACAAGCATCTATTGCAGGGGATCTCAAGCTGCCTAATGCAGCCAGCCTTTGATAGTTCCAGAAAACAATTATTTTCCTTCATAGCTTCAGTGAATATGTTGTGTGTGTGTGTCTGTCTGTCTGTCTGTCTGTCTGTCTGTCCTGTCTGTCTGTCTGTCTGTCTGTCTGTCTGTCTGTCTGTCTGTCTGTCCTGTCTGTCTGTCTGTCTGTCCTGTCTGTCTGTCTGTTGTCTGTCTGTCTGTCTGTCTGTCCTGTCTGTCTGTCTGTCTGTCTGTCTGTCTGTCTGTCTGTCTGTCTGTCTGTCTGTCTGTCTGTCTGTCTGTCTGTCTGTCTGTCTGTCTGTCCTGTCTGTCCTGTCTGTCTGTCTGTCTGTCCTGTCTGTCTGTCTGTCCTGTCTGTCAGTCTGTGTCTGTCTGTCTGTCTGTCTGTTTCTCTGTCTGTCTCTCTGTCTGTCTGTCTGTCTGTCTCTGTCTCTCTCTCTCTCTCTCCTTCTCTCTCTCTCTCTGGATGGATGGATGTGTGTGTGTGTGAGTTGACAGAATGTGGCTTCCAGTGTTGGCCTCTATGTGTGTGTGAATGTGTGAGGACAGAACGTGGCTGCTGCTGTATCACTGCTGCTGTATCACTGCTGCCTATTACATCTTTTCTATGTGGTTTGTAAATGTTTTTTTTTTTCTTCAGAATTCTCAGAATAAAGGTCAAAGTTCAAGCAGACATGTGTCCACACAGAACGGGCCATCCAGCGATGGTAAGTCACCCTTATTCTTTCAGTCATAGTTTTATTTCTTAACATAAATTATATTGACCAACCGTCACCTCAGCCATGTTAGACATGTATGAGAAGAAGCATAATTGAACGGACACATGACGTTTTCTCTCTAGAAGAATATTTCAATCATAGAAGAAGAAGAAGAAACTATTTTTGCCTATTAAGTTTGTATTGGACTGTCGTAGTATATAGTTGCGTGCATAAGAGGGACTGTAGAATGGTAGAGGCTGGAGACGCAAAACATCTTGGGGTGGACAAACAAGGGATAGTAATGGAGAGGACAAGAGTCATAGAAAATGTGTTTTCTTCAGGTCATATACCGAACAGAAACAGAGGGTCAGGAGGTCAAGGTCTTAGACAACAGTCTCAATCTGGCAGTAGTCGAAGAGGAAATCTGGACACACAGTCTTTAGGTAATGTTTGTTGTAGGATATATATCTTTTTCTGTACATCATGTTTCTGTCTGTCTACATCTTGTATCTGTCTGTCTACATCTGGTTTCAGTCTGTCTACATCTTGTTTCTGTCTGTCTACATCTCATTTCTGTCAGTCTACATCTCGTATCTGTCTGTCTACATCTTGTTTCTGTCTGTCTACATCTTGTATCTGTCTGTCTACATCTTGTTTTTGTCTGTCTGCATCTTGTATCTGCATCTTTTTCTTGTGAGTGTCTGTCCATCTTGTGTCTACCTCTGCAACTTGTGAGTGCATGTCTGTACATCTTGTGTCTGCCTTTGCAACTTGTAAGTGCTTATCTGTACATTTTGTGTCTACCTCTGCAACTTTTGAGTGCATGTCTGTACATCTTTTGTCTACCTCTGCAACTTGTGAGTGCATGTCTGTACATCTTGTGTCTACCTCTGCAACTTGTAAGTGCATGTCTGTACATCTTATGTCTATCTCTGCAACTTGCGAGTGCATGTCTGTACATCTTGTGTCTACCTCTGCAACTTGTAAGTGCATGTCTGTACATCTTGTGTCTACCTCTGCAACTTGTAAGTGCATGTCCGTACATCTTGTGTCTACCTCTGCAACTTTTGAGTGCATGTCTGTACATCTTGTGTCTACCTCTGCAACTTGTACGTATATGTCTGTACATCTTGTGTCTACCTCTGCAACTTGTAAGTGCATGTCTGTTCATCTTGTTTCTGCATCTTGTGTGTGTCTGTACATCTTGTGTCTACCTCTGCAACTTGTAAGTGCATGTCTGTACATCTTATGTCTACCTCTGCAACTTGCGAGTGCATGTCTGTACATCTTGTGTCTACCTCTGCAACTTGTAGTGCATGTCTGTACATCTTGTGTCTACCTCTGCAACTTGTAAGTGCATGTCCGTACATCTTGTGTCTACCTCTGCAACTTGTAAGTGCATGTCTGTACATCTTGTGTCTACCTCTGCAACTTGTAAGTGCATGTCTGTACATCTTTTGTCTATTTGTACAACTTTTATCTATCTGTACATCTTGTTGTGTCCTTGTACATCTTGTGTCTGTTTGTATGCATGTTTTGTGTGTGTACATCTTGTGTGTATCTGCCTTACATCTTGCATCTTCTGTGTGTCTTGTGTCTGTCTGTACATCTTTTGACTGTCTACCTTTACATCTTTTGTCTGTCTGTAGATCTTGTATCCATTTGTATATCTTGCATCTGTCCCTACATCATTTATCTGTCTGTCTGTACATAATTTGTCTGTCTGTCCGTACATCATTTATCTGTCTGTACATAATTTGTCTGTCTGTCCCTACATCATTTATCTGTCTGTCCCTACATCATTTATCTGTCTGTCCCTACATCATTTATCTGTCTGTGTATAATTTGTCTGTCTGTCCCTACATCATTTATCTGTCTGTACATAATTTGTCTGTCTGTCCCTACATCATTTATCTGTCTGTACATAATTTGTCTGTCTGTCCCTACATCATTTATCTGTGTGTCCCTACATCATTTATCTGTCTGTCCCTACATCATTTATCTGTCTGTCTCTACATCGTTTATCTGTCTGTCCCTACATCATTTATCTGTCTGTCCCTACATCATTTATCTGTCTGTCCCTACATCATTTGTCTGTCTGTCTGTACATCATTTATCTGTCTGTCCCTACATCATTTATCTGTCTGTACATTGGAGAAACTGTTAATGAGGTGTTTGTCTTCATCTTTTTGCAGGCAGTGGCTCCAGTCGACCTTCCGGGTCACCATCTTCACCGTCATTGACTTCGGCGACCCCTAGGGATTACATTCAGAGCAGCAGCGGCCGAGGACCACCATCCTCATACAGCAGTAGCAACACAGGCAGACCCAGCAGGGGCAGTGGGGGCCCTTCACCCAGGGGAAGGGGCAGAGGTCGGGGTCGAGGGGGTGGGTACGGGCGTGGAGGGCAACAGTATGTCAGTGACAGACTACCATCTAGTCAGGCACAAAGCAATCTGAAAACACAGTCATATTCCAGTGAAAGTAGTTCTGTTAGGACCAGTACTTAACTGCCTTTTGGCTGTCGGAATAACACAAGGGAAGCTACTCGTCTTGGGGAAGGGCAATCATTCGTAGATTTAGATGATGACTCATCTGCATTTTTTTATTTTCTGTCACTGATTATCTGGGACTGTTTGTTATAGATAACGGTTTCCTACTGGTAGTTGGAGAATTTGTTGTAGTTAACTGTATCCATCATAACAAAGTTACTGATAGTTCAAGAAATTGTTGTAGAAAACTATCTATGATAAGGAAGCTTCTGATAGCTGGAGGGTTTGATATAGATAACAGTATCCATCATAACAAAACTGCTGATAGTTGCAGAGTTTGTTATGAATAAATGTATCTATGATAAAGATTCTGATAGTTAGAGAGTGTGATAAAGTTAAGTTGCTGATAGTTGGAGAGTTTGTTATAGTTAACTGTAGTGCAATAACAAAGTTGCTGATAGTTGGAGAGTTTGTTATAGTTATACAAACAGTAACTTAGAGTCCCATTTCATTATTCTTCATGTACTCTTGTGCTTCTCACAGTCTTTTGTGTTTAATTGATTTTGCTGCCATCTGTTTTCAGCCTAATCTAGTCTCATGATGCTCCTGTGTTGTTTATACATGGGCAGGTCATCTGTTTTCAGCCTAATCTAGTCTAATGATGCTCCTGTGTTGTTTACACATGGGCAGGTCATCTCTCACTAGGAGATAGATGGTCCAAGTTCCCTACATTCAATTACAAACACAGAAGACACTGAATCATCTGTATTTCATTTGATTCTCAATAAAAGCGTGCACAAACTGTGTATTGCACACTTGGCTGCCTGGCATGTTCCCATTGGAATGCTCTTTAAATGCTAGATGTCAAACTTCCATGGCTGTTTGGAACTGCCTGTGGGGAGAGTTAGTGTGACTAATGAAGACAGTGTGATTTGTATATTCTGTGGACAGGATCATGTTCTGTGCCTCAGCAAATGTTGGTGCCACTCTGTAGTTGTGCATCTGGCCAGATATACCAGTTGCCAGCCATTGTTTGTACCCATATCATTTAAATTCATTGAAACATTGATGTCAGTTGTGTGCTCAGGGATGTGTCAATTATGTCACGCGGCAATCGTATACAAGGGTTTGGGATAGTTGGTCACTTATGTGCTGCTGTTAATGACATCTGTAGCTTTTGTTGCTGTGCTGTCAGTGACATATAAAGCATTACATCACCTTGCTGTCAATGATGTCTGTAGTGTTATATCAACTTGCTGTCAATGATGTCTGTACTGTTATATCACCTTGCTATCAGTGATGTCTGTAGTGTTATATCACCTTGCTGTCAGTGACATCTAAAGCGTTAAATCACCTAGCTTTCGGTGATGCCGGTAGTGTTATATCACCTTACTGTCAGTGATATTTGTAGTGTTATATCACTTTGCTGTCAGTGATGCCTGTAGTGTTATATCACCTTGCTGTCAGTGATGCCTGTAGTGTTATATCACCTTGCTGTCAGTGACATCTAAAGCGTTATATCACCTTGCTGTCAGTGATGTCTGTAGTGTTATATCGCTTTACTGTCAGTGATGTCTGTAGTGTTATATCACCTTACTGTCAGTGACATCTAAAGCATTATATCACCTTGCTGTCAGTGATGTCTGTAGTGTTATATCGCTTTACTGTCAGTGATGCCTGTAGTGTTATATCACCTTACTGTCAGTGATGTCTGTAGTGTTATATCACCTTACTGTCAGTGATGCCTGTAGTGTTATATCACCTTACTGTCAGTGAGGCCTGTAGTGTTATATCACCTTACTGTCAGTGATGTCTGTAGTGTTATATCACCTTACTGTCAGTGATGCCTGTAGTGTTATATCACCTTACTGTCAGTGATGTCTGTAGTGTTATATCACCTTGCTGTCAGTGACATCTAAAGCATTATATCACCTTGCTATCAGTGATGTCTGTAGTGTTATATCACCTTCCTATCAGTGATGTCTGTAGTGTTATATCACCTTACTGTTGGTGATGTCTGTAGTGTTATATCACCTTACTGTCAGTGATGTCTGTAGTGTTATATCACCTTACTGTCAGTGATGTCTGTAGTGTTATATCACCTTGCTATCAGTGATGTCTGTAGTGTTATATCACCTTACTGTCAGTGATGTCTGTAGTGTTATATCACCTTACTGTCAGTGATGTCTGTAGTGTTATATCACCTTGCTGTCAGTGATGTCTGTAGTGTTATATCACCTTGCTGTCAGTGATGTCTGTAGTGTTATATCACCTTGCTGTCAGTGATGTCTGAAGTGTTATATCACCTTGCTGTCAGTGATGTCTGTAGTGTTATATCACCTTGCTGTCAGGTATGTCTGTACTGTTATATCACCTTGCTGTCAGTGATGTCTGTAGTGTTATATCACCTTGCTGTCAGTGATGTCTGTAGTGTTATATCACTTTGCTGTCAGTGATGTCTGTAGTGTTATATCACTTTGCTGTCAGTGATGTCTGTAGTGTTATATCACTTTGCTGTCAGTGATGTCTGTAGTGTGTCTGTAGTGTTATATCACCTTGCTGTCAGTGATGTCTGTAGTGTTATATCACCTTTACTGTCAGTATCATGTCTGTAGTGTTATATCACTTTGCTGTCAGTGATGTCTGTAGTGTTATATCACTTTGCTGTCAGTGATGTCTGTAGTGTTTTATCACCTTACTGTCAGTAATGTATGTAGTGTTATATCACCTTACTGTCAGTAATGTCTGTAGTGTTATATCACCTTACTGTCAGTGATGTCTGTAGTGTTATATCACCTTACTGTCAGTGATGTCTGTAGTGTTATATCACCTTACTGTGATGCCGGTAGTGTAATATCACCTTACTGTCAGTGATGTCTGTAGTGTTATATCACCTTACGTCAGTGATGTCTGTAGTGTGATATCACCTGTAGTGTTATATCACTTTGCTGTCAGTGATGCCTGTAGTGTTATATCACCTTGCTGTCGGTGATGCCTGTAGTGTTATATCACTTTACTGTCAGTGATGCCTGTAGTGTTATATCACCTTGCTGTCTGTGATGTCTGTAGTGTTATATCACCTTACTGTCAGTGATGCCTGTAGTGTTATATCACCTTGCTGTCAGTGATGCCTGTAGTGTTATATCACCTTACTGTCTGTAGTGTTATATCACCTTGCTGTAGTGTTATATCACCTTGCTGTCAGTGATGCCTGTAGTGTTATATCACCTTACTGTCAGTGATGTCTGTAGTGTTATATCACCTTGCTGTCAGTGATGTCTGTAGTGTTATATCACCTTGCTGTCAGTGATGCCTGTAGTGTTATATCACCTTGCTGTCAGTGATGCCTGTAGTGTTATATCACCTTGCTGTCAGTGATGCCTGTAGTGTTATATCACTTTGCTGTCTGTGGTGTTATATCACCTTACTGTCAGTGATGCCTGTAGTGTTATATCACCTTGCTGTCAGTGATGCCTGTAGTGTTATATCACCTTACTGTCAGTGATGCCTGTAGTGTTATATCACTTTGCTGTCAGTGATGCCTGTAGTATTATATCACCTTGCTGTCAGTGATGTCTGTAGTGTTATATCACCTTGCTGTCAGTGATGCCTGTAGTATTATATCACTTTGCTGTCAGTGATGCCTGTAGTGTTATATCACCTTACTGTCAGTGATGCCTGTAGTGTTATATCACCTTGCTGTCAGTGATGTCTGTAGTGTTATATCACCTTACTTTCAGTGATGTCTGTAGTGTTATATCACCTTGCTGTCAGTGATGTCTGTAGTGTTATATCACCTTGCTGTCAGTGATGTCTGTAGTGTTATATCACCTTACTTTCAGTGATGTCTGTAGTGTTATATCACCTTACTGTCAGTGACATATAAAGCATTACATCACTTTGCTGTCAGTGATGCCTGTAGTGTTATATCACCTTGCTGTCAGTGATGCCTGTAGTGTTATATCACCTTGCTGTCAGTGATGCCTGTAGTGTTATATCACCTTGCTGTCAGTGATGCCTGTAGTGTTATATCACCTTGCTGTCAGTGATGCCTGTAGTGTTATATCACCTTGCTGTCAGTGATGCCTGTAGTGTTATATCACCTTGCTGTCAGTGATGTCTGTAGTGTTATATCACCTTGCTGTCAGTGATGTCTGCAGTGTTATATCACCTTGCTGTCTGTGGTGTTATATCACCTTGCTGTCAGTGATGCCTGTAGTGTTATATCACCTTACTGTCAGTGATGTCTGTTGTGTTATATCACCTTGCTGTCGGTGATGTCTGTAGTGTTATATCACCTTGCTGTCGGTGATGTCTGTAGTGTTATATCACCTTACTGTCAGTGATGTCTGTAGTGTTATATCACCTTACTGTCGGTGATGTCTGTAGTGTTATATCACCTTACTGTTGGTGATGTCTGTAGTGTTATATCACCTTACTGTCAGTGATGTCTGTAGTGTTATATCACCTTACTGTCAGTGATGTCTGTAGTGTTATATCACCTTGCTATCAGTGATGTCTGTAGTGTTATATCACCTTACTGTCAGTGATGTCTGTAGTGTTATATCACCTTACTGTCAGTGATGTCTGTAGTGTTATATCACCTTACTGTCAGTGATGTCTGTAGTGTTATATCACCTTACTGTCAGTGATGTCTGTAGTGTTATATCACCTTACTGTCAGTGATGTCTGTAGTGTTATATCACCTTACTGTCAGTGATGTCTGTAGTGTTATATCACCTTGCTGTCGGTGATGTCTGTAGTGTTATATCACCTTACTGTCAGTGATGTCTGTAGTGTTATATCACCTTACTGTCAGTGATGTCTGTAGTGTTATATCACCTTACTGTCAGTGATGTCTGTAGTGTTATTTCACCTTGCTGTCAGTGATGTCTGTAGTGTTATATCACCTTGCTGTCAGTGATGTCTGAAGTGTTATATCACCTTGCTGTCAGTGATGTCTGTAGTGTGATGTCTGTAGTGTTTATATCACCTTGCTGTCAGTGATGTCTGTAGTG